TATGTGTTGGTGTGCTTCCAAGCAATTTTAGGATTGATTATCAACATGGGAAAAGTGATATTGTGCTTGTGGTGGAGGTGGGAGAGATAGTTTTGCGGATTTCTTTGGATGTGTGGTTTTGGATCTTTTCCAATAACCTACTTAGGCTTGCATTTGAGGCGCCCGTCGAGGAGGGAATCTATATGGGGACATAGACCTAGTGGTGGAGCAATTTGAGAGAAGACTTGCATGTGTGAAGAAGCAGTATCTCTTGAAAGGGGCAGGCTATTTGAGCACTCTTTCGAGCCTTCCAACATACTTTTCCTCTTTCAAGTTCACGTCTTCTGTTGCAAGAGATTGGAAAAGCTGCAAAGGAACTTTCTGTGTGATAAGGTAAAATTACATTTGGCTAACTGGGGGAAGGCGTGTAGCCCTTTTCAAGTAAGGGATTGGGTATTAGGAGCTTGGACTTGTTCACTAACGCTTTGTTGGGCTAGTGGCTATGAAGATTTGGGGTGGAGAGATCCAAATTGTGGAGGAGGGTCATTGCATGCAGAGTGACCTACCCACCGCCCAGGATCGGCCTTTTTTTATTATACACCATGGATCATTCACTTGGGGTGAGATCTCTAGTTGGGGTAGGGGTTTGGAAATTCATTCGAAAAGGTTGGAATGAATTTTCAAAGCATATTCGGTTTAAAGTAAGGAGTGGAAGGTTTAACCCCAAGGGATTGGCTCAAGTGGGTAAGTCATTTGGCCCTGGTGCCTCATGTAGCATTAGGTCTAAGTTTCGTCTCCTCTTGGGTGCAATCAATTCTTTGTTGTTGTTGTGTGTGTGCGTGTGCGTGTGGTTTTTTTTGTTTGGGGAGGGGGGAGGGGGGGGGGGGGGGGGAACAATTTCCACATCACCTTTGATGTGGTTTCAATTCCCTTGCTCTCTTTATCCGCGGTTCTTCAAGGATTGTTGTTGACCAGAAGATTTTGGTTGTCGACTATTAGGGGCTTGATAATGGAAGGGTGACTTAGGGATGTGCAATTTAAGAGACATTTCTATGATTGGGAGTTGGAGGAAGTCGCAAATCTTCTATCATTATTTTACGGTCAACGCTACTCAGGTAGAAACAAATTTCGGGCCACAACATCACACAGGTTTTTTAGGTGTGCTCTTTTTATCAAAGGCTATCAGATGTTCGAGGGTCTTCTTTCCCGTGGAAGGCTATTTGGTGCTCAAAAGCCCTCTTAAAGATGGCTTTTTTTTTTTTTTTTCGTGGACAACGGCTCTTGAGAGGATCTTGATGTTGGATAACCTATGAAACATGCATCAGATTATAGTGAATTGGTATTGTATGTACAAAAGAAATGAGGAGTCGGCGACCCATCTTCTTTTGCATTTTTCTGTGGTGAGGGATGTGTGGGCCTTGTATTTTTTGGAGCTCATTGGGTTTTACGGGTTCCATAGCGGGCATGATTGAGGCTTGGAGAGGCGGTTTAGTGGGTAGGCAAGACCGAGATGCTTGGAGGACAACCCCCCTTTGCTTGTGCTAGGGTTTGTGGAAAGAGAGAAATTCCTTTGATGGGAAGGAGACTCCTATTTGGGTGTTTAAACATTCTGTACCCAGTTCTTGAGTTTTTTGGTAAATGGGTGGACATGTGAATCTTTGGAAGGAGGAGAGAGTGAGGGTATATGTAATTGTGTTCAAGTGCGCTCCCCTTTTGAACTTCTTTTAATGAACCTTTTTACTTATTAAAAACATAATATATATTGACAATCAACAACCTTTTATGAATCTCTCAAAAATTCCTGGCATTGAAAAACAATTTTGGAAAGCGGAGATTAAAAATTTCTCTATAATTAAGCGATCAGCTTCAGTTGGAATGTTATGATGAACAAGATTTTACGACCCGAACCTCGATTATCCAAAATCATACAATACGTCAATGGGGCATTTGAGGTTTCATAATTATGTAACCTACAAACATTCAATCAGATAATATTCTTCCAAGAAATAAACGATTATTATTGCAAATAAATCTCTCAAGAACGTTTATAATTTACACTACAGTATCTTTACATCTCAAAATATCCAATCTCATAAAAAATCAAATGATTAAATGTAGTTTCTCCATGCTCACTAAGTGTGTTCCTAATTCCGTCTTCCTTCATGCCCATAACCTCCGATGTAGCGAGGGATGGGTGGAGCTTGGGAAAGCCCAGTAGGAACCATTCATCCCAATTCTTAACTAGTTCTTGTCTTTTTATCTCCATTTTTCAACCATAGGACCCGAGATTTCTGTGAATCATTCCTCCACCCCACTTTTTTCACTGGGTAGAACACAAAGGATCGTAGTTAAGCATACAGAGAAAAGGGTTATTAGATTTCATGCTATCAATCGTATAAAACAGTACTTATTAATATAGACTGTAATATGATTTTCATTCAAAAACCAAAATTTTGAAATTAAACAAAAATAGGTGCTTGGCTATAATTCTGCTATTATAGCATACAGAGAAAAGGGATATTAGATTTCATGCTATCAATCATATAAAACAATACTTATTAATATAGACTGTAACATGATTTTCTTTCAAAAACCAATTCTTCGAAATTAAACAAAAATAGGTGCTCGGCTATAATTCTGCTATGATCCCCACATGGATTTTGTACTTCACGTATAATAGGTGCTCGGCTATAATTAGGCATCCGCCTTCACCGACCCTTCACATGGCCTCAAACAAAAAAGTTTGAATTTTTCACAAAATCCTTTTATTTCAATAATTGCTTTGTAATCTTTTCAATTCAAGTAAGAACTCATGTCAACAATTTCATGGACAAAATATTTTTCTTATAAACATGGTATTAGCATTCTTTCGGAATCAAAGTTCAACAAATATTAATGCATGAATATAGAAGCATATGTTTTCAAAATATAAAATAAGCTTGCATGAGGTTGGGAGAAAGAAATGATTCCGTTACTGTCTTTTCCGTAAAAATTCGAGTGCTATTCAGTTACTTCTTTTCTTTTTCTTTTTCTTTTTCTTTTCCTTCGGTTTCTGTTTCCTTTGCTTCTGTCCCTTTTTTCCTTTCATGTCAATCTCTCTATCTCTTAATGCCTATCAGTCTCAAACGTCCTTCTCACTTTTCTTTTTTCTTTTTCTTTTTTTCGCTCACACTCTTCAACCTATTATTTCTATATCTATATCAAGAAGCCAAGTAATAATGGGTCTTCGTTTCCTGTTCTTATTCAATCCTCCCTTTTTAGTTTCAACGTGTTCCTTTTTTTCAACTAGTTAATCTTTACACTAACACACACACACACACATATATATCTAACTAGAGTGAGAATATATTTAGTTATATTTAATAAGAATTAATTTTGATCTCATAATCTAATTAAGTTAAAATTGGTGGTGCATTTGGCTCGAGAGGAATCGGAGATATTTCGATGGCAAGGAGAAACCTATTTCTATGCTTAAGTTCTCTATTATTTCCACTCTTTTTTGTTGGGTCTCAGGGAGAGATTATCGTTCTGTTGAGGAGATTGTTATTTTTTTGGCCTCTTTGAAGGCTGGAGGCTTTTTGTGGCCTTTTGTTTCCATGGGATTCGCTCCCCTTTTGAGCGCTTTTTATAAAATTCTTACTTACCAAAAAAAAAAAAAAGTTAAAATTGGTATGGGTCATTACACAAGATCTGTTTCATACAACAATATGCACATACAACATTATGTGGAATCTTCATTTTGCTTCATTAACAATGCTGCAGCATCATCAGACTTGACAAGTAATCTTGCTGTCAGCTAGTATCCCTACGGGCTAAAAGCCAATAAAGGAAGAGAAAAATGAAAAAAAACAAATAATGTTACCAAATTGTAACATGAGCTTAGTTGGACAATCAACAATAAATCTATTGGTCCAAAATATTTCTCAATGTTGCCAAAATAATGGAGAATTTTAGTTAAACACCGTAACATCTACATATGTTGAGTATGCATTTCCACATAATAAAAAGTCAACATTTTTAGGGATATGCACTCTACATTGCTAGGAACTCTCGGTGATGACATTTCTATGAAAGCAGAATTCGGGCAAAAAGTGCACTCATGTATTCATTTGCATGGAATTTGTGTGGTTTTGGTCTTAATTCTTTTGTAGCTAATTAGAATTGTATCTGATACATACAGAAAAGGGGAATTCTCCTGCGGTCTAAAATGCTTGTTTTTTCCTCACTGACTTAGTAATACCATTCTTTAAGTACTTGCCAATGTAAAAATGACTATCTGACAACTGCTGCTCCTTCCCTTTATTGTTTGGAATTTTTTCGCTGTCATAGTTTTCATGTCCTAGTTTTAATTGGTAGGTGAATTGTTGGAATCAGCATTTTGATACTCTGTAGCATATCAATTTCCACAGTTTTATAGGCATTTTGGAAAGAAAAGAAAAGGGGAAAAAACATCTCTTAAGGAGGACAAATCCATTAGAGACACTGGTTGATGTCCATTGGTTCATTGCTTCTTTAGTTGCTTTTATGTGTTACCTTTGGTAAAGGATTTCATATGATGATCTTCATATTTTTGCCTTTTTATGGACATTTTGGAAAGAAAGAGACTCCTTATCTTTTGAGAAGTGACAAATCCGCCAGAGACAGGAGGATCTTTGGTGTTCCGTCAGTTGTTTTAGGGTGTTCCTTTGTAAAGGGCTTCATAGAGCTCATGCTTCATATTTTCACAAAGCTTTTGCTAGTCTTCTCGTTACTCACTCAAGTGTTGTTAAGCTTGTAGGTTGTACCACTTTTTTTTTTTTCCTCTCAATACCACTCACCCTTATTTGAAAAAAAAAAAAAAAGTGCCCTTGGAGTCCAGGAATTTCATTTGCATACTTTTGCCCGTGATAGCGGTGCTGAAATGTGCATACATTATTTCATGATGCTTTTATGTTATGCATGCATGCTTGATAATCTTGTTATGATTATTATTTCAATTCCATAATAGACTGTTTTCTTATATCTTGTATAAAATATTACAGGCAATGTGGGCGCTCTTGGCTGGTGGGATTTATTTATAAATTTTGGGTACTGTTTATATGTCATCACTGTCATATTACCTTCATTTTTGGGGTTTATCTTATGTTATAAAGAGAAGTGACAATTGTTAACATTTTTTCCTTTACAGTATCGCTGAGTGCTTTGCATTTCTTGTTTGTACAAAATGGTCTAATCCGGTGATTCATAGAAATTCTAATAGAAGAGAGGCCAGCTCATCTTCTACGGCAATACGATATCTTGACTGGAATAGTGGCTTAATTGTTTCTTCACAGAATCGCTCCGAGGATAGAATGTGTGGTCTGCAAGACATTGGTGGGCATATTATGAAATTACCAATAATTGGTTTCCAGGTCCTCCTTTGTATGCGATTGGAGGTATGTTTTATTTTTGTGGTCATCAGGGACAGATCCACATTGTGCCCGTGGGGCACGTTACCCCACGCCACCCCCCCCCCCCCCCCCCCCCCGGGGCCCAACGTGTCTCTTCAATATATATATACCACTTTGGTCCAATAGCATATGTAATTTTTTATAAATTGCAACCCCCCTAAAATTCTCCATTTCTAAAGTTGTCCCTTTGGCCAATGTGGCTCTTCAATATATATATATATATATGTTTACTTTAGTGTGTGTAATTTTTTAAACTTTTACAAACCGTCCTTGTAAAATTCTCCCTTTCTAAAAATCTCTCTTAGCTCTTTCTTTCTTCTCTCTTTTACTTCTTTTCTTTGATCTTTTCAAAAAATATTTGCATTCACTTCTTCAATCAAACCCTAAATTTCCTCTTCAAAGTGCTTTCATTTTTCTTTTCTTCTTCGTCTTCTTCTTTTATGTTTTTTCTCTTATTAAATTTTGTATTCTTGCACTCATCTATTATGTATGTTTAATAAGCTTTTTCTCTTCTTTCTTTCTTTCTTTTTATTTTTATTTTTTATTTTTTTAAATTCACTGCAATTTTATGAACTTATTTTTTGAATGGTGCAATTTATGAACTTAATGATTTTATATTTTTGAACATTTTTCACTATATTTTTTTTAGAATAATGACATAGTATTTGAATATTGATTACTGGAATTCTGTTTTTTGGCTTGCTGTTTTGCTACACTATTAGGTGGAAAAAAAAATTAATTAATTTTGATCATGCTCATTGCGCCCCCTGAAAAAAATTCCTGGCTCCATCCCTGGTGGTCATCATGGCTACTGGCTGGATGAGATATTATGATACCCTTGGAATGCCTTATCAACAAATCTAAATGTGGTTTCTAATTTCAGGGAACACCTGCTGGTGCGAAATCTATCCCACTTCCACTTCTTTTCTCTCCTCTTTTTCTGTTGCAAGGTGCTGGGGTACTGTTTTCTGCGTCTAGATTGGTGGAGAAAATCATTCTTTTACTACGTAGTGGAGCTGGTACAGAAAGTTATTTTACATTTTCTTCAAGAGTTCGTGATTGCTTTGGCTTTTTGCACCATGGCTCCAGGTAACAATTTGATACATTTCATCAGGAGGAGGTAGGAAAGATTGTGCATTTAATAAATTGATGCAACCATCGAATGTGGTGCGAGTACCATGAATCAGTTATCACACTGTTCTGTCATTCTTTACATGTAGGCTTCTTGGTTGGTGGTCAATTGATGAAGGAAGTCGGGAAGAACAGGCTCGACTTTTCCAGGATGGGTCTTCTGGGTAAATTTTCTTTTTGCATCATTTAAAGTTTCTGAAAGGGATCAAATTCCATATTTTATCCTTGTGTGTGTTTGTGAAGTATACAAATTCAATTTTATCCTTGTGCACAAATTCAATATGTTACCCCCTTGTGCGTTTGTGATCTTATGTGATGTCTGTGGCCACAAGCCACACATCTATCATTGGAAAAAAATCAGAGAAATTTATAATTTTGTACAATAAAAATTTTATATTTTGATTTGTAATTTTGTAGTGAAGTGCTCCAAAAAAAAAAAAAATGATGAAATGTATTACATGTCACGGGTGAGAGCAAGGCCGTGCTCGTGCCTGCACGGCATTCTAACAAGGTCGTGAATGTATCCTTACCGCAGTATCAATGGGATGCCATCACATGTACTTGGGCTGTCTGATTGAACGTGTTAGGTGGGCGGCATTAAGGTTATAGAGTTGGATATGGCGCGTAGGCATATCTGCATACCCGCTGTGGGCCATTTGGACAACACAAAGTGGGTTGTAGAAGCCCTTGATTCTGAACTCAAACAAGGTGCATAAAGGTGCTTTGGTCTTACAGTGAGACTTACTTGTGGAGTTGAGGTCCTCTCAATTATGCTTATGGAAGGAGAATATATCTTTGCATTAGTTTTCAAAGATGTTGAAGACTTCGATTATGGAGTCTAATATGTAGATGCTGTTGAGAAGGTTGGAGACTTCATTAGGGGCTTATATGTGTCTGTAGAAAAGCCAGTAAAGTCTTCTGTAGCCAGACCCTCATAGATGCTCAATAAGAAGACGGGTTTGTTGTCCATAAATATATATTTATGGTTGTAGACCCTGCTGAACACAATAGGCCCGAGATAATGAACCTATGGAGAAGGCAGACCACATGGTCAAAGAACAATGCAAACCGAAGGCAAGGTAGGCCAATAGGAGATCACTTTTGCTGAAGAGGGATAAATATATTGATAGAACCACTCAAGATGAGCTTGCCAAGCAGATATAATGAGGAATCATATTGTACGCGGTGCAGTAAGCATTACGGCAGCAGATATAATGAGGAATCATATTGTACGCGGTGCAGTAAGCATTACGGCAGATTTAAGTTTCTTCAATAATTGGGTCGGAACCGAAGCTGCTTCGTTCATGGATTTGACAAATAATGGATTCCATGTACATGACCTGATTTGGGATGGATTCTCGGCTCCCATAAAAAAATCAGAATAGTTCAAGTCTCGGTTCATGATTTATCTTCAAGCAAGTTTTGGAGATTTCACTAGAGAGCTCTGAAAGTTCATTCAAAGTCATTCTTTGTCAGTAATAAAAGCTTATTTTGCTTTGATCGAGCATGGAAAAGAAGAAAGAAAGGATCGAACGCTTTACTCGGTTTCTTCATTGATCGTGGTAAATTGTTCAAACTTGAGGGCAAGTTTTCTTAAATGAGGAGGGTCTGATGCAAATAATTAATGGTGCTTTGGAAATTGCCTTGAAGAAAAAGTCAAAGAGTCAGTCTTGTTTTAATAAGCTTTGGAATTAGTAAGATTTTACTTATGAAAGTGGTAAAGTGTTATTAGTGCTGTGTGGAGATTCTAAAAGTCATTCTAGGAAAAGTCAACTGAAGTGTCATGAAGAGTAGTTTTTATAAAAGGGACAACCCTCTATAACTGCTGTAACCAAGTCTAAAATCAGTGTAATTTTTTGACATATCTTTTTATAAAGTATTCCACAGGCTTTTCCTAGATTTCCCTTTAGAAATCTAGGCTTCAACATGATTGGAGTATTTCTAGTCTTCCTTACTGCTGTAAGAAGACTTCTGTTGTTATTATTATTTTTTTTGTTTGCTTCAATCATGAACTACATGCTGCATCAAAGGACAATTTGATAATCTTCATCAACAAGGGTAAAAAGGTTAACTTACACGATGATGCACTCTCACCAATTAGGTACATGCAGTGCATATTTATGGTGTCTCAATTTACAAGTTTCTAACTTATTTTGATTACCAAATATGTTTAAAGAACGTGTGTTTGAAATTTGAAACCTACCTTATGAAAAAATTTATAATATAAAATCTGCAGAAAGGTTCGATTAATCCCCTTCTGGAGTACTGTCGATCGATCAATGTTTAATTTGATCGATCGGTTTCGTAATAGGTTTCAAACTCTTCTAAAAACCTTTTCTCTCACAATCTCTTGGCTGCCTCACAATCTCTTGGCTGCCTATAAATATATTTCTTTTTAGCAAACCTTAAGACACAATATTCAAAATCATATCTTGGATAGAAAGTTCTTGTGAGGTTTTTGTGTGTATCTTTATTTTTCATTCGTTCTATCGGTAAGTGTTCATACACTACGTAGTCTCAAAGATCATTCAACATTAATCCAATCCACAACCAGATTGACAAACCGGATGACTAGTGGATGAGACCGATTCCCTAGAAAAACAAGTTTGTGAGGAGCGAATACTTTAGACGATGGGTGGATAGCCTGGAGACTTTCGAGTGAAAGTTTGGCATCATCTATGTCTAGAGGTAACTAGGAGTTCGAGGGTCATTGAACTGTAACCTAGTTGTAATGTCTTTCTTGATAGCGGATTTGGTTTTCCTGGACCTAGTCCCTTGATTTTCTTTCCTTTCTGAGGGTTTTTCACGTAAAAATCTAGCATCTCTTATGCTGCTTTAATATTTGTGGATTGCATGATTTTTACATGTGTTAGTTTAATTTTTCTGTTAATCTAGTTTAATCTGAAAATTGGTTAAAATAATTAAATTGATTTAGAAGACCTATTTACCCCTCTTTAGGTCTAGACCAGTAGACCTTGCACAGTTCTATATATGAGCCTCGGGTTCCAATCCGTAGTACTTTTAATACTACTGTGTTAGAATACTTTTGCTAGCATAATTTTGAAAAATTTTGAAGTATGAAAGGGTTTTTTTTTTTTTTTTAACAAGTAATTTGAACTATGAAATGTGAGTATTAATTTGTAGTCTCATTTAATCATATTAGTTTTACAATGTCAGTTTTTCATGTAATGTCTTATTTTAGGAAATTGCAATGAACAAGATTTGACTTCTTTAATAGATGGCTATGAACGCATGCACTATCATTAAGTCCGACAAATTGGCATTTCAAAAGGAAAACTGGTGGTTAAGTTCTGACTTACCTTTTTTTTTTTTTCCCTTCGGATTTGTCAATGTATTTCTTAGCTGGACTATGAAACTTTGGTGACCTGTAGTGTCTGCATAATTGGCATCATTTTTATTACCAGAAAAAAGAAGGAAAATAAAAGAAAATAAAAATATTGTCAAATATATTTACCTCATTGTCTTTGTAATGTCATTTTCAATATTTTCCTTTTTTTGTCGTCCTACTTTTTACTTTCAAAATATAAACACATTTATCTAGTCAATCTTGAGAAACGTGTATAAATGTAATACCAACATGTGCGTAATCTAATGTGTCTCTAATTGTACATGTCTTGATTGTATAGACAATGCAAATTTTGTTACAAAAAATAATGTATATAACCACACTGAAATTTGGAAGTATCTAGACGGTTAAAATGGACATAATAAATGCATGATTGATACATGGGGTGTTTTATCTAGTTTGGAGTGAGATTTTTGCTTGTTCGGATAAAGTTCATGTAAACTTTAAAGCAATAAAAATAAAGCATGAATGCAGTTAATATTATTTTCTGCTGTCTAGTACCCTCAGGGCTTATAGTGTTACCGGGAAGGGTGTCACAAGTAACTTTGATCACTAATGTCTGTAATTTTCTTTTCTAACTATGCAGTTATAACACTTTTTGTGGTTATCCTCCTGAAATAGTGAAGAAAATGCCTAAGAAGGAACTTGCTGAGGAGGTGATTATATATTTCGGAGTGACCTTTGCATTTTACTTTTGCCTTTAAGTTATTAAATCCACTTTTTTTAATTTTCTTGTTTTAATCTCCATCAACTGATTTTATTCCCTTTTCCCACTAGAGTAAATATGCTGGCCAATGGCATCGTCACTGTGTCACAGTTTACATACCATTGTCATCATTCTTTTTTTTTTTTATTAGAAATATTTTTGTTGATAAGTCATTCTTTTGTTCTGTTCTAATTCTCCCGCGTTTCAGGTTTGGAGACTTCAAGCAGCTCTCGGTGAGCAAACAGAAATCACAAAATTCAGCCAGCAGGAGTATGAAAGACTTCAAAATGTAACATTCTTAATCTTGGTAGATGCTTTTACAACAGCACAATACGTGATGTTAACAACAAATAATACGAATTTTCTTTTTTTTTGAAAGGTTAATAATATGAAAGTTGCCTTAATACATGTTTTAAATTATGTTGTCTATAGTGCAATTCTTGAGCAGCGTTCTCTGCCATAACGTAGGATGCTTAAGTATGCACATGGATTTTGAACACTTGCATGATTCTCAGTGCTTATAATCCAAGAAGCATGGAAATAATATTTCTCTTAACTTGCCATGTGTATAGTTTTTGTAGTCTAGCAGAGAAAGGCTTTATTTGTCTCTAGTAAAAGATTACAATTAGCCTCCTAGTATTTAGTGCATTGTGGTCAAATTATCACCTAGATGATTGCTTTTCCCAGTGGACTTACTTCCTGGAAGGCTTTAACTTGAGATGTGATCATCTATGAGCCATGGTATTCCGTATCTGTTGTTCGTAGAGTCTTTTCTATATAGTTTCTTGGTTTGGGGGTTGGGTGGTTGTTTTGTGTTGTGGGGAGCTTTCCCGTTCGATGGCCCCAAAGAAAACAGTTTTTCTAGGATTGACTTTCTTTATTAACTGCGCACTTGGAGAAATATGTTATCCCCGAATTCCTGCGACTTCAACTCTGCTTGGCCGCGCCTAAAGTAATACCGGTGGAAGTTCCACAAATTTAGCAAACGAAGTGTACGGGAACTTCAAAGGAACTCCAGCAAACGAGAATCCACTCCCTACTCCTAATCTTTTTTACTTTTAGTTACTTGGCCATGACTTGCATATATGAGTTTTTCTTGATAACAAAAGGATATCATGGCAAAAATGGTATCTGGTTATCCCTAAAATATATACATATACATATGTATATAATTGACAAGGACCTAGGAAATGGCTAAAGTCTCAGCTTCTGTTTATCTCCTCAAACTGCCCTACTACTTCCCCCCTCCCCTTGTCCCCAACCACCCTCGCTTCTTATCCATATGCATTCTGTTAGTTAATGCTGAAAATAGCCTGTTCTTATTTCACATGTATCAGTTTTGGGGTTCCAATTAAGGTAAAGGATGGGGGTTAAGTTGACAAGGTATCATTGGATGGAGTGGCATGATGGTCTTAGGAGAGACCTCTGTCTCGGACATCTTCATACTCCGACCTATCTTAGTCTTATGTGTAAACACTATTTGGTGAAGCCGGCACATATAATTTCATTCCAACAGAACAAGTTAATAAAATTTAAGAGTTGACAATGAACGGGTCTTCAATACAGCTTTTCAATTGTGGAACTGTTCATCTTAATAAAACTTGCTTAATGCTTGCTCATTTGAAAAGAAGGTTGGTGTAGAACATTTCCATGAATCCTTTATACGGACTACTTTTTAGTGGTGTTCTGCTAGATATGGAAACATTTGACATGAATATGATACACTGTTGTTAGTTGATAATACTATTTTTCGTGTATGTTTATTTTGAAATTTGACCATCTGGAGTTTGTTCAAAAGTTCTGTTCAATTCTGAAGTAGGGTTTGTTAAGAAGTTGATTCGAAATTAACTAATAGATGTTATCTTGATGCATTTGTCAGGAAAAAGTTTTATGTAGGGTTTGCTTTGAGGGAGAGATTAGCATAGTCCTACTACCATGTAGGCATCGCATCCTATGCAGGTATGTTCCTCTGCCTGTAGGCAACTGAATTCTTTGCAAGTTTGCAACTGATAAAATGTCTACCACTGTTTTGTCATTGCATACTTAATTATTTTCTAATTCTGTGCAGCAACTGCTCTGAGAAGTGTAAGAAATGCCCCATTTGCCGTGTAGCTATTGAGGAATGCTTACCTGTATATGATGTATAGCTTTGACAATTGACCCTTTTTGTATAACTATAATCTGGAGTATGCACATAACGTCAAAAGGTTTGACAGGGATTCTCCTACACAGCTCTCATTGAAATTTTTAGGAACAGTGAGTGTCGCTTTGATTGAACTAACAAGCAAGAATTAGGAAATGTATAAAATGCAGTTTTCATATTCATGTTTCGATCGGTTAGTTTTTTACCCTTGTAACATACTCTACTTCGATGTGTGGCTGAAAGTTGCATTGTTAGTAAACTTCACTTGTAACGAATTTTGTTGCACAATCGTTGTTTGAGTTATATGGGGTGTATGGAAGGTAAAACTATTCCTAAAATTTGTCCATTGGGTTAAGAAAACTGAATGTATCAACGTTTGAGGAAAGGTAAAAGTTGATGCTTTTCAACATTTCGGTTTACCCCCAAAGACGGACAAATTTTCTTCCTTTTTGATTCACAGTGAAACCATTGCTACGGATAGCTCTGCAACTTGATCTTAATGCTGTATTGCTGTATGACCTAAATGCAGTGTGTTATTAGATTTATTTGTTCATGAAATTAGCATGCCATTTTGCTTTCATGAATAGAAAACAGAAACTCTATTGGTGAAACTGATGGATAACTCTGAAAATTGTGGAGCTGCTTTAATCTATTATTTATGCTACCAGATATGGCCTTTCAGTTTTTCAAAGATGGGGCTTCCTACAAGGAGGTTGGAGAAAAGGAGGTTACTGAAATTTGTTTTAGAAACCTCTTTTTCCAAAGAATAGTTTTAGAAATTTGTCAACAAGATGATTATTGAAAATGTTCAGTTTTATTTTATTTTATTTTATTTTATTTTTTATTTTTATTTTTATTTTTTTTTATTACCAAATTACAAGTAACTAATATTCTGATGGACATGCAGAAAAATAAGGAGGATAAAATGAAAAATGAAAACAGTTGTGAGTTACTAATTCAATGCACAATGACAGCTTGTTATTATCCTTTATCCTCTCATTATCTGTAATAATTTCCTCATAAATAATGTTATTCTAAAATCTTTCGTGACATAACCAAGCACCTAATGAATAATGGTTAGAGATGACATTTTATCCATCCCGATGCATGCTAGTCTTGTCTCACTCTGACTGATTTTCCCGATTGACCAAGATAAGAACAGGTTTTGCGAGGAGAGTCGGAACTTGTTCATATGTAATATAAAAAAACGAAAAAAAAGAAAAGAAAAAAAAAAAAAACCAGTTCAATGTTCAATGCTTATGATATTAAATGTTATTACGGGCTAAGTATATAAAACATCTCTAAAGTTTACTTTTTGAACAAATAACACATACCTTTTACTTTGGATATATAATTCCCTTAAAAATGTTGCAGAACTATTTGATAGTCAACGATATCATTAACAAACCATATGGTTTGCACATGGCTAATTAATTGTATTAAATATCAAAAATGCCTTTATTTATTTTTTATTTATTTATTTATTTTTTTTTAATATAAAGTCCATAATAGTTATTTTACATTATCTGATTTTTTTTTTACTATTTTTATTTTAATTGTAAAAAGGGCATTTTAGTATTTTTATTGCTCCATTAACAACCGAATAAGGGGAGATCCTAATTTGCCCCTAAATTTTGAGAACCATAAAGGGTTATATGAACTATATGTATACTAATACCGAAATTTACTAAATTAGATACATTCTTGCTTATGTGTTTGTGTTTAATTAATTTGTAATTTTAAATTATCACCACGGCAGAAAATTTTATTTTATTTTCGTGTATTAACCGATTTTGAATAGTTAAAAACATATATTACAAATAATTATTATATTCCTAAAATATTTTTAATTACATATATTGTTATTATTATATTCTTAAAATATTTGGATAGTAGAAAAAGAAAAATTAAATATTTAATTTCTTGAGAAAGTTATGTAAACTTATAATTAATTTTTCTTTTATTTCTCTAAAGTAAAATGTATTTATGTATAATTTTTTATAAGAATAATATAATGATCTATATTTCTCACTAAATGTCCTACTAGATTCTTATAATATTTTTTATATCAAAAACAGAGACAAAATATACAAGTTTTTATTTAGATAAAGTATTTGTTTGTACTTTTTTTTTGGGGTGAAATTGTACTTAGCAAGGCGTCCCATTGTCCCAATAGCCAATTGTGCTAGGAAAAAAAAAAGCAGGCCGAAAAACCAAAGAGACCCTCGTCTAATCTGTCAGTTCGGTTCCTATCAAAATCAAAATCTAACCAAAACGTTGGACAGAAAGATACTTCCCAAGTGGGTAAAAACCAATAACAGACACCGGCTCTCTCACAAAAACCTTCTCGTTTCTCTCATTTTCTCCGATTTCTTGCTGCGACCCACCTTTTCTTGAGCAATTGGATGACCATTCTCGGCCGATCCGGACTGGTTTTTGCATAGTATAGCTTCTGGGTTTTGATTTCAGGTACTAAGCTTATGTACCCATTTTGTATTGTATTCTTCAAATCCTAATTTTTGAAAAAAATATTCTGTTTGATTTTTCACTCATGTCCTCAATACCCTCTTGAAATTGGGTTCGTTTCAATCTGAAAATCAGTGCATTATTTTGGGTTCAACTTCTGATTTTCGGTGGTGTTTGTTTCTTCACTATTATCTCGAAAAACACTCATCATTGAATTGATTCGTACCTGAGAATCTGAGAGTCAGTGCATTTGATTCAAAGTTATGATTGCTTCTGTTTCTGTGAATTCTCGGTTTCCTCTTGCATGAGTTGACATTTATTTGCAACCCAATTCAGTACTCCGGGCCAAGTTTTAAGTTCTGGATAGTTCGTTTCCTACCATATATTTACGGAATGCTCTAACATTGGACGGATTTAAATTGTCACTCAATGCAATTTTCTGGGTTCAAGTTCAAAATTTTGAAGAATTTTATATAAATATATATATATATATATATATATTATTATATGAAAGTTTCAGAAAACCCTCTCAAATTGAGTATGAATCTGTCTTAAAGCTTGATGCATTTTTCTGGACTTTTTTTTATTAAGCCTTGAATTGGTAGTACTAGTATATCAGATGAGAAATTTCCAGTTAATGTTTTAGTTGGGATTTGAGCTGAAGATGGTGAAAATACTGTTCTTAGATTGATGAAAGGCGGTTTGGATTAGCCGGAAATGAGCCGTTCTCCATCATTTTCGGTGAAGCCAGAACCCAATTTGAAGATTGAGCCAAATTCCTTGCGACGATGGGTTGTTGCCTTTTGCATCATTAGGTTTGATCTTGAACAGGGTCAACTCGTTGAAGAGTGTTACCCACCTGACTGTCTTACCCAAGATGAGGAGCTCGAAGTTGCTTTTAGTTCATTTCCGGATTCTGTTTCCCAACACCATAACCGCACAAGCATCCATGATTGCATCTTCTTTTTCCGGATCCGAAGGCAGGGAAATTCTCAAGTGGCAAATGGGTCTTCTGAGATAGTTGAAGTAGATGATGAAGAAGTATCACGGAAGTCAGTGGACGAGAAAGTACTAGAAAAACCAAGCATAATTCGAAATAGTAACTGTTCCAGATACTTGTATGGTTTTGTATTTAATAGGCAGAGACATGATGAGAGGCTAAAGCGAGGTGGGGAACAAAAATCGGTGGTAATTCTGTCTCATAGTCCTTACTCTAGTGTGTTTAAGCCTTTGTTACAAATCATGGGTCCTTTGTATTTTGACATTGGAAAGAAAGCTCTTGAGCATATAGCAGGATGTGTATCAATGTGGCCCGCTCCTCTGACTGGTAAGCTGATGGAGCTTCCCATTGGGAATGCCACCCTCAAAGTGAACTTGCCACCTGCTCATAGCCTGCCTTCAGATGGTGAAATGTTGTTTGAGGAGTCCACTTACTCTGTGTCTTCTTTTCTTCCTTCTAATCAGTCAGTGCCACAGGGTCTTTTCCATGATTCAGATCTTTTTGGTATGTTCCGTGGACTTTTGTTGCAACTCTGGGTGTTATGGGAGTTGTTACTTATTGGTGAACCCATCCTTATCATAGCACCGACACCTCCCCAGTGTTGTGAGGCAGTTGCTGGTCTTGTTAGTTTGGTTGCACCACTCCTTTGTAGTGTTGATTTCAGGCCTTACTTCACCATCCATGACCCAGAATTTGCCCATTTAAACTCACTTCAAGAAGGGGATGCTTTTCCTCCAATGGTTTTGGGTGTGACAAACCTCTTTTTTTTAAAAGCTCTTCGCAATATCCCTCACATTGTTTCAATTGGAATCCCTGCTCCTAATTCAAGCAGGCCTGCCCTGGCTCCAAGGGCCTCTACTGGCAGAACTTCTGCCAGACCTGAAGGTTTTGGTCTTCAAAGTTTCTCTTTGAAGAGATTTTCTCCTTCAAGTTTGTTGAATGCTGTGAAATTGAGGAGAGATGGTCCTCTTTCTCTCATGACAGAACACAAGGAAGCCATTTGGAGCACTTATGCTGCAATTATGAAACCGGACACTTCTATCTTGAACAGGCTTATTGATGCGGGCATGTCACCAAGGGTTGAGGAATCTATGTCAGTTGTCAACAATGAAATTCTGCGTCGGCATTTTTTGGAGCTTACTTCCAACTTTTTGGCCCCTTTTGGCCCATATTTTAGAGCTACCACACCTTCTGAAGGATCTTCGCCATTTGTTGATCCTCCTCCTCTTCCGTCGTTCATTGCTGATGAATTCCTCGCAAGCTTATCAGCAAGAGGTCCAGGGAAGTTTCTATCAAAGCGGATGAGATCAAACTGGCTGGATCTATATAGGTAAATCATCATTTGTTGTCATTAACTGTCCCACCCACTAATCCACCATGCAACCCCCTTTTATTTTATTCAGCTTACCCACTTCACCTAAAAAATATTCTTATATTAATTTTAGTTTATGCAATCAAGTGATCAATTGTTTCTAAGGTTGAGATGATTTACAAATCTGTACAGACGGTTCTTGAAAGGATACAACTTTGTGCCCTGGTTCCAGAGAAGGCGTGCTGTTGCTGAGCAGGAGCAACATAGACTCTGGAGGCAAGCAAGAATGAAGACTGACATACAACAATTTATTTCTAAAATGTCTGAATTGGAAATTGTTGATTCTTTCAATGCTATTGAAAGACATCTTCTTGGAGAAATTCAGGTAAGTGATTCTTCAAGTAATGAGATGATCTGGTTATTTCTGGGTGACCATCCAATGATTTAGTATCAACATCTTAACACAAATAGCTAATTAAGGGTGTCTTCAAGCATAACAGCTGATCGAAGGAAAAACATTTGTACTTAAAATGATACTCTCTGCAAATTCTTGAATGATGTTAAGCTATCATTGATCCCTTTGAGGTAGAAGTCAAAAGTTGGTCTTTTTGTAATGCATTGACTTTTATTTGTAATTAAACATGAAAATTAGAAAATGCAAAGGAGAGATTCAGTAAATTTGAGTTTATATGGAGTTCCAATTTATCATACTTGATGCAGCCTATGCTAGAATTCTCCAAAATGCGAATAGTAAAAATGAGAATGGAGAAGGAAAAGTGAAATAGAAAGGTAACAAATAGGAAGCGGAAAAGAATTCCGACAGAGAGAAATATAGATGTGAAAAAAGAAAATATATAAAGATAGAAATAAGAGAAAGAAAGGAAAGAGAGAGAGATGGGAAATAGAAATTGGAGGTAGATAAAAAAAATAGAAGAAATAAATAAGAATTTAAAAGAAGAGAAGCATATAATGTAGAAGTACAACATGGTTAGGTTACTTTCAGCAACTTACCTGTGTGACTTTAGCTACTCCCTCAGAGAAAGGGTACATATATTATTGGCATGCATTTTTTGTATGTCACATGACTCATACCACGTTTGCCCCATACAAACACTTTTTGTTTCTGATGTTCTAGTCCTAAAAAATTTAATTCCCTTAGCAAGTTCCATAATTTCATTTAAATTTCATCTTTTGTTATTGATATTCATCTTCTTTTCAGAAAAACTGCAAATTCATGTACTGCTTGGTATATCTCTTTTTTTTAGACTGATTTTCGTGGATAATATATTCCTTTATTGATTATTTAAAAAGATCATTTATGGGTCATAAGATGGGAATCTAGCTATATTAGTTGTGTTAAGCTTTGTACATCAGAAAAGACGAGAAGAATCTCTGTATCTTGTGTTACAGAATAATGAATTACAAAGAAGAGACTAAAATATTAAGAAATAAGCCCTAACTAAAATAAAGGAAAATACAAAGCTACCCTTAACAAATAAGAAAAATACATAAATACATAAAATATAATAACTCTCTAATAAGTGGAGACTTCTTGTCATGGAGGCATTAGATTTTTGAAAGTGTGTCTTATAAAAAAAAAAATAGATTGTTAAAGTGTGTTTATGGTATTGTATTATTCGTGCTGAAACAATACGACAGACAAGAAAATATGGAAAGATGCGCATTATAAATTCTAGTCAAGGAAATAAAGACTAAGAGTGAGGATCAGGGAAATGGTGAGGATGGCAACAATCAGGATTAATCAAATAGTAGTGGTGAATGTGCCTGGTTCAACACAAAAGTTTGAGCTAAAAAAACCTGCCTTTTTTGGATTAAAGGTGAACCAATTCAATTCAAGTTGAAGAGGCAGAAACGGGCTGAAAATTTATTAGAATTACATGATTATCAGTCAAGAGTCATTCATCAATACTTTTTATTAATGGTGTAGATTGATTTTAGGTCTGTCAAATTTATTATGACCCCATATATCATTAGCCCTCCGATACATTCCTCACTAGAAGCAAATCAAGCATGATAGTCATACACAGCTTCAGACAACCTTGGAGAGATTAGGATATGAAAAACAAGTTTCCGTTTATACTGCTCTTGGAGAACAAACTTATGAACTTTAGCAGTTATTCTTACGGTCTTTTGGAAGCCCTTCAACTGCACCCGTGGGTTATTGTTGATTGAAATTGACCTCAAGCCTGTAACAAATGGGAGAGTCAAATCGCATAATTAACAACTTGTAAACATCATTAAGGATAGGTCGGACTTCTCAATGACGGACTTACAAGTGTCAGAATACCTGAATTAACTCAAAATAAGATGCTTAACTTTAGGTACTTTCGGGCAACCATTTTGGTCAAACATGTTGTGGTCAGATGTCCAGACAATGGGAAACAAGAGAAGATGGGTTTCTGGCATAATTTAATCGCTCAATATAATAGTTATCTCTATCTGAGAAAATAGTAGATTGGGGATATACTTGAGGAGGTGCACCAACTTTTTAAGTTTGACCAAATTTAGACATGCTTCTGCGCAGCAGCTGACTCACAGGTGATGTCACTTTTTGATAGTTGATGTCCTAAAATTCTTGGCCAATGAAGTACCTTATGGTCTGTCAAGGAAATACCGCTATATTGAAGATTAAAGAAGAAGCCCTTAAATCATCGATAACAAATTTTGGAAGTCTTAATAGCAACCCTTTAGGGCCCTGATTCCATGTCACTCTTGAAATAATAGAACTATTAAGCTAACAATTCCAACAATTTGTTGGTGTTGGAATTGTGATCTACAAGATCCAGCAAGTGGAAATGATTTGATTTTATAATAGGCATAAATGATATTGGAACTTCGGTGTTCCTTCTATCCTCCTATTTCTTTATTTTTTTGTATTGTGGTTGAATCATAGGCATGTGTGTAATGGAGCCTACATGTGCCACCATTGTGCAGTAATGTAAGAGTATTGTGATGTGGCTATTTTATTAAAATCCTATACGTTTGGTTAGCGTCAACTAGCCAAAAAAGAAACGGAAAATTTAAAATTTTTTAGGAGTTTGGTTAGGAGGAAAAGGAAAATTTTTAGGAAAGTAGAATTCTCGTAATAATTGATTTTCCTGAAAAAGTTTACTCCATAAAACACGTAAAAATTTTAGTTTCCTGTGAAAGTTGTATCATTATATTTTTGTTTCTTGTTATGCCCTTGTCGCTTGTTTCTCTTTGTTCTTCTAAGAAGTGAGTTTTCTTCATCCATAAATTAGGACACTACTATTAAGTTACAAGTTTCCGGCTCTTTAAATTAGGACTCATCTCCAGAGTCGCAAAAAAAGTAAGCAAATCTAACAGTAGAGTCCTAATATATAATGCGAATTCAAAATAATAATAATAATAATAAAATCTAAAGAGCCAATTACCAAATATATATATATATATATATATATATATATATATATATATATATATATATATTTGTATGTAATTGGACACATATACAAAATTTCATTGTTGTCAGTATTGACATGGAGAAAGGGGCTAAACTGGAGTCCATTTTTAGGAGTGAAGGGTTATTCGTAGACAGGTTGGCATGACTGGACCGTCCCTACCCGGTCCCATGTGCCTTCCGACTTCCACAAATTCACTACCTGCTTCTACTTCCTTCCGCTCGAAACCCAAAACAAGAGAAGAGTGCACAGCGGGTATAAAACAGCGGATACGTGCCCCGTGCATGATATATATATATATATATTAAAAGAACATATTTTTAAATAGCAAACCCAAATTATCCATAATTTTAGCATATATATATATATATATATATATATATATATATATATATTGTATGTAATTGGACACGTATACATACATACACGTAGATATTCATTCCTATACCAATTTGTATATACATATGTATTTGGATATATATATATATATATATTCATTCATAAACCCAATTGTATATATTATTTTATTTTATTTTGCCTTTTTTTTCCAACTTATTCCTATTGCATGATGATGTATATTAATATATATATATATATATAAATTGTATATTACTTAGTATTGAACTCGTAGGGGTAGTTTTGGTATGTGAAATCATTTTCATTTCACACTCATGCTATCCAAACTACTAAAACAATATTCTCTCACAAATTTCTCAAAAAACTTTCATGCTAACCAAATGCATAATAGAAACTTCACTTTCTTTTATTTTCACTTTCCAGCATCAATTTCGGCTAACCAGACGGGGACCCATAATGTCACTATTTGGCACTAGTTTTATGGTTTTTTCTCCCCACAACCTACCATCCACTCCTCTTTCCTGATGGGTCTATGACATCGTACACAGAATGAACACTTACTAGAGAGACTTGACTTTTATTTTCTACAAACTCATTATTTATCTTCATGTAAATGAACAATCCTAGCATTATTTTACTTTTTCATTAAATGCAATCTTCTGCTGCAACAGTCTCAAAGGGCTGATGCAGACTCTGCAGCTACTTGCCAGAAATTGAAGGGAGATCTGCAGGCGGTGTTCAATGTTCTTCCCAAGGACATACAGCAGCTACTGCTCATGAACCCTCAGAGGGTAGCTCTTCTACAGTGACGTCTTGAAAGGACGAAGCTTCCTGGACGTCCTTTGCTGCAATTTGGCTTCATTTCTTCCATTTCACCTGATAATACTCAAAAAATGGCTAGGATTAAGGTGGCCTCTGGTAACGTGGCTTCCAAGCGCTGCTGAAGACCAGAAAAATGTTACAACTTTGCAAAATTCATAGCATAGTTTTGTCCTCGGGTTGGGAGTATTTAGCTGGTTTTAGGGCATAATTTTTATTCTTGGTGGGTAAATTTTTTTATTTATTTTTTCTTTTCTCAAATCACTCTTTTTCATTACTGATACATGTGCTGGAGAATCAATATACGTAGTAATTATTTTTCACTTTTTATCTTTTTCCAGATAACCAGAGGCAAAATAATCACATATGACGATTGAATTGCACATCCCACAATCAAACTTGAGGTAACATTCTTCTTTCCATGTCTCGACCTTGAATGGGTGAAACGATGATCTGGAAGATAACAATTCATGGGAGGAGTTGTTTGTCTTGACGAAGTTACAGACTCGTGCTTAATTTGTAAAGAAACAATTCATATTCTTTAGGGTAAAGCACCCACCCGAGGGCTGCAGTTCACAGTTCCATTACATCTTTGTATGTTGCAGTTCTTTCAATTACAAAATCAGGATTATCTATTTTTGGTTAAAATTACCCTTGCATTCCCATAGGAATAAACACTGCTGCAAAGTTGTGTAACTGGTATCTGTTTCAATTACAAAAGAAATTCTAAAGCATATTTGTCAATTATGTCAGCACAAAAGCTGTTGTAAAGGTTATGGAATTCAGTCTCCCTAAAGGTGGATTCTGATTAAGACCATCGATTTGCTGCCAATAACCAGAAGGAAAAAAAGAGAGGAAGATTTGCGGGCTAAAAATTATGCATTTGCTGTACTGGTGGCTGCCCCATCCTCATGATTGGTACATAAAGGCAGGTGATTTAATTTGAATTTCAGCATCCAGCCATTTTCAACCTCCAGAATGGGGTCTTAATCAAAGTATAAGAAATGTTTGCAAATGTTCTGTCTGAATTTGGTTTTCTTGATATTTTACCAGTCCCATTACAATTGATTTAAGCTGTAAAATGAACCAAAAACAGTACGATTTCATTCCCAATGACCAAGTGCTGAGCGAAAAAGAATTGATGGTTAAATGTTACTTGATAAATTCAATCTTCGGATACTTTATATTCCACTGTACTAGACGGTTATCATTATAGTTCATGAGAAACGTGACTAATCACAATATAAAGCAAGCATTATGTTTTGAAAGAATATGAATCTTTTGGCTTAATCTAATGGTCTAGCGTCCATCAATACTTTTTATCATTTTCACCATTAGTTGTTCACCTCATTCTTAAGGTTGGAATTTAAATGAAGAGACTAGTATTCATCAAAAAAATAAAAAATAAAAATAAAAAACCCTACACGATTGCTATCACCATGTGTTCTCATCTTGCTCCTTGCTGGAGGACTCAGATCATACACCCAATTTCAATATATTTTATACAAATTAACTGCTCATATTGGAGCTTTTGTGATCACAAAGTACATCAAATTACCACGTGAAAAAAAAAAATTACATCAAGCAAAAGCCCACAACTGCATCTCTAAAGATATATACTCTAAACCACGTAATATAAGGTTCAAAAAGAGGATGAGTAGACGCACAAACTCAACCAGCTTGAAACACTGCTAAAACTCTTTTACGGTGGGGTACATAGATATCATAATGAAGATCAAAAGATGCTTAGGATACACAGCACAACTCCATGCTTAGGATAAATGAGGAAAAATTCCATGCCAGCACATTATGAAACCTCATACATCCTGAGACTAGCAGAATCAACACAAGAAGAAAACACCTAGCCCACCAACATTGTACTGGGCAACTAGGTGTACTTGTCCGGAGGCAACAAACCAGAATTTACATAATACCAGGGCATTAGCATCATCAACTCGAACCAGAAGACTTATGACAAATGATGAATCTCTCACACCCCCAAACAAGAGTAGGTGATTGTGGTAGACTTGATATACGAAGTTCTTAGATTTCGCCGTAACTGTTTGACAAGTGGCAAGGTGCCCTAAGCTTGCAGGACTAGAGCTGAGTCTCCCATATAGTGAAAGACTGCAGCGGTGTGTATATATGAGAAGTTCCAGCAAAATTGATCCCACTCTAGACTCTTCACTATGCTAAAAAGAAAAACCTCATGCGCACGCATAGAGAGGGAGAGGGAGAGGGAGAGGAAGAGAGAACTAATGCAGAAAATGATCAATAACATTTTGAAATCTCCTGATACAAAAACAATATTCTCCTAAAATGAACTGGGATACAAGGAGGCACAAAAATTAAAAAAAAGGGTGCACAAAAATAAGATCCACAGGGATAATTAACATTCCTTTGATTTTATATGAAGCTGCCCAGTTAGGATGTTATACAACCACCTTTTACTTCCCGATTTCCACCACATTGGTACAACACTCCGTTGTCTCTTCCTTGTCTGTTCTTCTGCAAATTAGGGTCAGAAAATTAATTATAATCGGGAAATAATCAAATACCAGACCACTCCGCCCTTCCAAAAGGGGAGAGCGGGCTTGAAAATTCTGCCATAATGATGTCTTCTGAATTGAAAACAGGGTAATCTGTTCCCCTCATTTACTGTAGGAGAAAAATACCTGCTTTTACACAATCTTATCATGAGATCTGTAGCATTTTAGTATTAAAACAGATTTTTTTGGCTAGAAAAGATTGTAGACCAAATTCTTTCATATAGAAATTGAGAACAACCTCACGCGGATATTCCATACAAGAAATATTCATGTCCTAAAACATCTCTGCTACTTCATAAATATAACTCAAATGATACGCGAAAGTGAAAGTGAAAGTGAAAGTGAATGTGAATGTGAATGTGAACGTGCCTAACATCTAAATCTCAGAATCACAAGCAAGAAGACGAGATATTCATTTAAGAGAGCTAATAGAATTTTAACACAACCTAAAGAAAGACAAAAAACTTACTTTAAGTAACTGTTACGTAAAATTCATCAAGAAAGTTTAGGCTTGGAAATTTAGAAGAATATGACAAACTTATGGAGAACATACTTTTCTTTAGAATTAGGAAATAAGTGGTTAGAAATGTATTAAGGTTGATGAAATAAGGAAGGGCATAGGACCAGATTACATTCCTATTGAGGTTTGAAACTGTTTAGGGGATGACCATGTGTTTTGGCTAAAAAATTGTTTAATAAGATAATAACTAAGAAAATGTCTGATGACTGACGCAAATACCTATGTATAGAAATAAAGGGGATATGAACCCCAAGGGGTTGGCGCAAGTGGGATAGTCACTTAGCCATGGCGCCTCAGGAAGCATCAGGTCTAATGTTCGACTCCTTTTGGGTGCAAACAATTCCTTGAAGTGTGCGTGCGAGTACCAATTAGGAAAAAAAAAGGGGGAGGATATGCAAAGTTGGACTAATTATCGTGGTATTAATTAATGAATCATACTCCGAAACTTTGACAGAGTATCTAAACGACGACTAAGGCGGGAAACTGAAGTGTTAGAAAACCAATTTGGATTTATACTAGGGAGGTCAACAATGGAGGCTGTTTACCAATTGAGGAGACCAATAAAAAGATATAGAGTGAAAAAAAAAAATCTTCATATGATTTTCATTGATTTAGAGAATGCGTACAGTGGGGTACCTAAAGATCTAATATGGAGAATTTTAGAAAATAAAGGAGTCCCAAAACCATATATTAACATAATAAAGAATATACATGATGGAAGAGTAGCTATAATTAAAACAAATATGGAAACAAGTGAATTTCCAATTACTATAAGGCTTTCATCAAGATTCAGCATTGAGCCCATATCTTTTTCTATTAGTTATGGATGAATTGACGAGACTAATTTAGGATGAGATTCCATTGTGTATGTTATTTGTTGATACTATTTTGATTAATGAAACCAAAAAAGAGTAAGTGCTAAATTAGAGGTTTGTAAGGAAGCTCTTGGGATAAAAAAAAAAAAAAAAAAAAAAAAATTTAAAAACAAAAAAAAATAATAAAAAAAAGGGAAGAAGAAGAAGAAGAAACGAAAATGAAAAAGAATTTATGGAGTGCAACAATAGTAAATGTAGAAACACAAAAAGGGGATGTAATAAAGATTGGGGATCAAAAGATACAGGAAAGTGAACATTGTTTGTTATTTAGGCCCAACTATTCACAATGAAGAAGAAATAAAAGATGATGTTAATCATAAAAACAAGGCAGAATGGTTTAAATGGAGGAGTGGATCCAGTGTATTGTATCATCGACATGTCCCTCTTAAGTTTGAAAGAGAAGTTTTAAAAAATAGCTATTAGAACAATCATTCTTCAGGGAACAAAATGTTGGACAACTTATCAAAAAAAAAAATTTGTTGGACAACTAAGAACAATATACATTGTGGTAAAAATGCAGATGTTTAATAGATGTGCAGCAAGACAGATAGAATTAGAAATGAACACAACTGTGAGATGGTTGAAGTGGCACCCACTGGAGATAAAATGAGAGAAAATCGTTTAACATGGTTTGGACATGTGCGAAAAAGGCTACTAAGTGCACTAGTTACAAGAATACATTTTTTCCCCAAGGCGAGTCTGACACCTGATTCCCAGTAGCGAGTTGTTGCCCTATCAAGTGTGATAAATCCTTATAAAGTAATCATTCTTTTAAGGGGGCGGGCAAACTGGTCAGGACTCACTGAACAAATAACAAGTATTGCCTCCCCGCCCAACTCCATCAACAGCCCTTTCTTTCTAATACTAGTTACAGTCTCTCATGGTCCCATCAGAAGTAAACTTAGATAAGTGAAGCAGAAGTATAAATATATATATATATATATACACAAATTGCTGCTTTTGGACCTCGACAATTTAAGTACTTTTTCATTCAAGGAAATGGAAGTACATTTTTCTTCCCTGGAAGTAATCATACCAGTTAACAACTATTTGCAAGAAATTAGAAAGATACATGGCACTTAACATCCTGTGAATTTCAATGATTAGTTCAATTCAGGTCCTTTTTCAAATCTAACATCTGAAAATACTCAAACACTGGTTAGTTTCATGCCCAATAGAAAGAAAATCAGATGTTTGAAGAAGAAAGATACAAAAGCAATCCTCCACCTTCCCGCAAGCTGAAGGTCAGGTTTGCATCCAGTCCACCACATTCAATACCCCAAAGTTTACAGGAATAACATCAGGTAAAACACTTTTTCTAGACAAGACTAGCAACAAAAAAAAAAAAGAGATATCTTCTCAGACAAGATAGGGAGGTAAAGAGAACCAAGCCTTTCAGCTCAAGTGGTATCTCCTCCTCCCATATATGAGGTTGAAGGTTCATGTCCGAATTGGGCACAGCGGGTGTGTATGCTTACCTACCGATATATATATATATATCGAGACAGATAGAGAGAGAGAGAGAGTTCTTCTACATAAAAAAATGAGGAAGAAAATATTGGAAAAATAAAGAGGCACCATTGAAAGATCTTTCTACGCTGAACAATTCAAGAATTTCTAACCCAATCCCAAACCTTAAAACAACCTTTACCCATGTGACTCTGCACAATGGCCTCCGCCCATTAGGAACCAAGGAGTTTTGAACTCCTTCCCTCTAAACAGAAGTACCTAGACAAAACCTCCACAAAATAGCCAATAGACCGTAGTTGATGCATGTAATAAATGAAGTTTACTTGAGGAATCTTAGTGTATAGATAATATTCCAGGGTCATAACCCCAGTTTTGGGAAGAAACTGGAAATTTGCAATAAGCGTGTATGCTATAATGCATAAAATCTTCTGGTTAATAATTCACAGACCTTTCACAAGAGGTCCATCCAGAATTACAATACTTAAACTCCACAGCAAGGTTTTCAACACTGTCAAGACAATAGAAATACATTATAATTCCTTCTTTCACCAACACTTTAGGAGGAGAAATTGTATTCTATTGTTAGCAAGGCAAGCAACAGAAGGTCCAAATGGCCTAAACTTTATACAAGATGAATCCTGAACAAGTAACCAGCCTCGTTCATGAAGATGTGCTGAATTTCTTCAGTTTCTTTTTAAAATGTTGCGTAAATAGTGCTAATACCATCCGGACAAACATAACTACCTGATTGAAAACAAATTTCTATTTTTGCACCAACTGAACACAAATTTGAGTTAGGTAATTCTCTTAATTAATATTAGTAAGATAAAGTACTATGTATTATCACCTTGGGAGAAAGATTTCAGAACTTGCTATTTTACAAGTCCTTTATTAGGCTCCCAAACCATCCAACTTAGAGACAACTTCGAAATTTACGGTTGAAGAGAGATGTCTACTTGATTTATTTATTTTTTTTCTTTTCCTTACTTCTTCATACAGGAGTCTCCCCCTATATCTCACCATTTTTGGGCCTAATAAAGTAATCCTTTGTTGGGATAAGTAAGATATGGACCATAAAAGTTGACCTAGAAGAAAAGTTCACACTGAGAAAGGACAAAATCACAGAAAGGAAATGTACTTACTTCTGTCTTGAAAAGCATATGATCCCCATTGTGACTGCAATTTCAAGAGAGTGGCTTCCAGTGTAGGCCAGAAGTTCATCTGAATTTTCAGGACTTCCAGAACAGTTTGCAATCCAGCTCTGGAAGGTACAAGGTTGTCCACTTCACATGCAGGACTTTCCCCAAGCAAGACCTTCATCAGAGAGTCAAGTCAAAAAAGAACCAACACACTGCATCATACTAAGATTTGATGCGATTATGTAGCCCACACAATTCATCAATAATTGATGTATGACTTTTGACGCATGCATGTAGCAAGTTTTTTTCCTCCCAATTCTCAGGCACAAAGAGCAAAACTTCATTTATTTATTTCTTTTACTTTAAGCATGTATATTAAACAAAGTGGAATTACAATCATGACCCAATTTGCATAGGAGATAACAATAATCACTAGTTAAGAGACACATAGGAATTAAAAAGAAATTGAAAATTATCTTAATGAAGGGAAGAGGCAGAAACTCTTGCATCATATCCACACGCATCGGTTGGCACAGACTATTTAATTATTAGGTTGACTTCAATTTATGAGACATGATCTATGTATAGTAGTTTAAAAGTTGTTGATGTATGGGGTTGAGGAACAGCTGAGGAGATTTCCGGAACAATAGGATGTTAATGAGAAGGAAGATTGAATAACCATGGGGGTTTGGATTTCATAGGGGGTGGAAATAAGAAATGGATTTGCTTAAAGTATTGAAAATAAATTTCCCAGCGAACTGGAGATGGATTTGCTTGAAGTACTGAAAATAAATTTCACCTTAATCACCGCAACAGCAGAGGATGATATGGAACGGAGATTATATCTGCAAACAAATATGTTTACCTAATCAAATTTCAGGTAAAGTAAACATTTGAAATTAACAACCAAGGACCAAAAATAAACCACAAACCCGCCCTCAAGAATAACAAGCAACTTTCCACCAGAAACAGCATTCAACATGTGTGTCATCTGTGCATATCCAGCAGGAGTTACCTACAAAAGATAATCTCTAAGATGTAAAAGAGTGACATCAGATAAAAATTAAAAACCTTGGAAGGTTGACGTCCAAGTGAAACAAGAAGAATAATAAAACCCATCAATCCGTACGCTTATTAGACAATAAAATATAAAGAATTGCATTACATTTTCTTTAAAGATTTAGTGAAGGGAATAATTGAAAAATACTTCCACAATCACCAAATGCTCATGGGACACCGTCCCTTTAAATGCAAAAGACACAACCATATAGCTCATAAACTCAGGCAACAGTACTTCCAAATAAAATGGATCTCTCAATTGATTAATGATGAAGATAAAACGGTTATTCAGCCAAGATAAAAATCCTTACATCACAGCAGCCAAGGGGATCACCCCTTGCAGCATCAAATCCTGCAGATATGATAGTGAAATCAGGGGCAAACTCCGAAGCTGCAATTAATTGTGGTACAAACCCCATCAAAAAAATACACTAAATCAATAATCAAGTAAAAACAACTACACCCATTACAGAACACAGTGTCTGCACGCTATAATGGAAAATAAAAGGAGGGTATGGATATTATCAATAAAACAAAAGTGATAGAAATGGATACTTACAATAAGTACAATAAAACCTGAGTATATAACTCTCATAAAGAATAAGAAAATGGAAGTACACGATAATACAAGTAAGAGGAACAAGAACAGAAAACGATAGATCAAGATCAAGAACCATTTTGTTAGTAATTCGTTAATTGAAAATTTCCAAGGACTTCATGTTCTGCATCATAGATTAAGCTCAAAAAATGATCAAATGGAATGCAAATTATGAACAACAAATACCATACAAGGCTTATATACACAACCTTAGATGTTTTCACTCCCTTCTAGCCAGTTTTTGTAGTAATTTGTATAGTAAATGACTTAAACCCAAAATAATGGATCACTGGCGTTGCAGATTGGATTTTCTGCAAGCGCATTACATGGAATTCTCAATTAACATAATTCCATTTTTATATCAAATCCTCCAAAGGTGTGATTGCAGACAAAGAGCAATTATTTAAGTTAGCGTCACGTTATTGCATATTCAATTATCACCATGTCATACTTAACATATAATGATAAATAACTGAATATGCCATTGATTTTCCCAGAATTATTGTAGGTGGAATCAATGCAAGCTTCTTTTTCAATTTATATCACATAATAAAAATAGCTTCATTGAAGGTGGCTAAAAAGAAATGAAAGTGGAAGTCCATGTCAAGGTAGCAAAAAAGTAAAAGGTGATACCAGTGTTGATCCCCGCTCATGAAATATTTTGGAAGCACATTACATAGGCGAGAAACGTTTCTTGTTTTCTGTTGTCAACCTCTAAAAAGGCAAAACGAAAACACAAATCAAGTTCAATAAAATGTTTTTGTTTTTCTATAATAGAAAACGTTTTCAATTTTTGTGAAGAAAAGAGGAAACATCAAAATGATGTTTCTTATGTTTTCGGCACTGTAGCGCAAAAACGTTTTCACTAATGTTACTGCACAGACACTATTCATTTCAAATAAAATTCATATTATTTGTGTTATATACTAAATTGCATATTAAATGTTAATAAAAATATATATATTTAATATAGAATATATTAAATATTATTTTTTATTTGATAAAAATATATTTCAATATATAATATATTAAATAATAATGTAAATTATTTTTTGTGACAAAATAATTTTTGATATAGAATATAATGTTATTAAATTATTAAGCGGTAGATATTTTATATTATTATATATCATATCTATATTATATTATATGTAAATATTAAATTATAATTAATTTACAAAATTATAACACAATATATATTTTATTACATATAAGATACATTATTTAATATTTTTTATTCATAATAAATTATCATATGCTAAATATATTTTATATCACATAATAAATGTATACATCATGCATATACATGTATTTATATACATAATTGGTGGGAATGTTTTTTTCTTGGTATATCTAATTTTGTACTTGAGATGTATTGGGTATTTTTAATATTTATAATTTTAAATTAGATTTTCTACATTTATGGCTTTTTGATATTAATGGAAGTAAGTATCGTGCCTGAGTGGCTGGGTTGCTCCCTGTGTCGAGAGTTCATGTTCAAGTCATCTACCTTCCCCCTCACCCTCCCCTCTAATCACTAACTCCTAAAATTCTTACCATGAAAAAAAAAATAAAAAAATAAAAAATTTTAAGAATATTATGTACATTTTGTAGCAAATATGTTGTATTACTAAACACCGTTATTGTTTTATGTTTTCAAATTTGTGGCAACAACAAGTGTTAATAAACATCATTTCTGTTTTCTATTTTCACTCAAGAAAGCAAAATCATGTTTCTGCTTTCTTAATACTGCAAAAACAGAAAACGAAAACGTTACTAAACGCACCCATAGAAATCTCATTAACATAATACAATTTCTTTTTAAATTCTTCCAACGTTCTGAATAAAGATTATGAGCATTTTTTTTTAAGTTAGATCACTTTATGCATATCCAAAACTACTATTGCCTTGTATATGACATATGACGATAAACAGTCCAATATACCAATGACCGCCCTCAATTATTTTTTTCAATTTACAACAGATAGTAAACACAGCTTCACTAAAGGCTGTCTTAAAAGGAGATAACAAGTTTGATCCCAATTAATTGAGGGTGTGGGGAAGGACGGACTGACCTAACCTTTGGCATAAGAGGAATGCCATTTAATGTTCCAGTAATTATAGATTTAAGAGACACATAAGTGGCAGCAGATATAACATATTCAGGTAATCAGGCTATTCACTAAAGACAAATAAAAAAAATTTTAAAAATGAGAAGAGTATTATTGATCAATAATGCATGGCCAACTTCCTCGGGCACACTCTATTATTAGGTAATTCACTGAGAAGACGAGTAATAGAAAACCACAGAATAAAAATACAAAGATTCCTCTCATTCTTTTGGTATATAAAACAAATGAAAGTGAATAACCTATAGGAAGCACAACATGCTGAAATGCATATATATAGTCATTATCGCCTACTCCCCCACGACTCCATGGAACATTCACCGAGTATCCTTCTGCTCCAGAGGTACCAACCTGCAGAACTAATATATCAACTATGACCATTCACTAAAATTGAAACAGTACTTAAAATGGCAAACAGAAGAGGAGAATGAATTTATACGCAGCTATATAAAACAACAAATCTAAAGTTTCAAAAAGAAAACTCCTGTCAAACACACCAGGATGTCCGCAATGAAATCAATTTCTGAAGTACAAACACAAGGCGACAAGATATACATACAAATATTACAAGCCATGGAAATAAAATACGAAAGATTAAACATAGTCTATCAAAAACTTTGATTCTTGAGGTTGAAGAATGGAGATTAAATGAGGACCCAAATTCAGAAGACAGGGAATGGAAAAGACGACCTGGAGAAGTTTAACCCAGATTCTTGAGGTTACTAACCATGCTCAAGTTAAATGGGTATGGATTTGGCAGCAAAATATATATATATATATTTTTGATAAGTAAGATTTTATTAAAAACGCTCAAAAAAGGGGAGCGAAGCCCAAAGAAACAAAAGGAACAAAAGGGCCAAAGGGCTCCTTAGACCTTCAGAGAGGCCAAAAAAACAATAATTTCCTCCATAGATCTATAATCTCTCCCTGAAACCCAACAAAAAAGAGTAGAAATAGCAGAGAACTTAAGCATAGAAACAGGCTTCTTTTTCCCGTCAAAATATCTCCTATTTCTCTCAAGCCAAATACACCACCAGATACAAAGCAGTGTAGCCCTCCAAGCATCCCTATTGCCAGCCCCAACAGAGACGCCTCTCCAAGCCTCAATCAACCCTCTAGAGGAAAAAGGCATCGCCCAGTGTACACCAAATAAACGAAGCATCAAATCCCAACAATCTCTGGCCATGCTGCAATGTAAAAGGAGGTGATCAACAGTCTCCTCATAACACAAACACATGTAACAGTGATTAACCACCACCTGATTCCTCCTGCTCAGATTATCCTGGGATAAAATCTTACCCAGAACAGAGGTCCAAGCAAAAAAGGCGACCTTGCGGGGAGCCTTAGACCGCCAAATAGACTTCCAAGGGAAGGGATCTCCATGAACCGAAAGGCATCTGAAAAAGGACCTAACCTCAAAACGGCCATGCGAGGTAAGAATCCAGAACCACCAATCCGATCCCCCAAAAGAAATCACCTGGCTATACAATAGCTCCAGAAAATAAGAAACATCCTCGATCTCCCAATCCTAAAAATGCCTCCTGAACTGAACATCCCAAGACAGTCTCTCGTTATCAAGATGATAACAGTCAACAACCATGGCCTGTCGATGAGAAGCAATCCTGTAAAGCCGAGGGAACGCGAGAGCAAGAGGGAGATCCCCACACCAAAGATCCATCCAAAAACTGATCCTCCTTCCATCTTTAATACGAAAACGGACATACTTGCAGAAATCATCCCAACCCCTCCGAATGAAATGCCAAACTCCCACCCCCCTTGGACCACGCAACTCCAGGGAGCACCACCCACCACGACTTTCCCCAAATTTGCTAGCAATAACTTTCCTCCATAACCAATGCCTCTCGACCCCAAACCTCCAGAGCCATTTACCAAGAAGAGCCTTATTAAACGGCAACAACCTCCGAAACCCTAAGCCTCCAAACCGAATTGGACGGCACACTTGATCCCACCGAACCAAGTGAAATTTGAACTCTTCCACCCCCCACCCCCCCCCCCCCCCCCCCCCCCAAAGGAAGTTGCACTGCAATCTTTCAATTCTCTCAGCCACTGAAGAAGGAATAAACCAATTTCTAACCTGATTCTTTAATCTTTATCAGGTTTAATGCATCTATATGTGTTTTTTTTTTTTTTTTTTGATAAGGAAATACATCTGTATGTATATTTATCAGTACTTTGGTTTTAATTTAAAGCAGCAGCAGCAACAACAACCAAGACTTTTCCCAATTATTTGGGGTCGGCTACATGAATAGTTTTAATTTAAAGAATAATATATTCAATCATTTTTTATTTAAATGAGTTAATTAGTTGGCTCATTATCAGGCAATTCCTAAACAGCCCAACTTCAACTTAACTCGAGACCTACAGAATCACTGGTAGCTTGTATCTGGTTTTTTCGGGGGGTGGGGGGAAGAGTCAAATTTGAATGTCTTTAGCATATAAAACCACAACCGATGCAACTCTCTGCACAAAACAACTCCCATCTACCCACAATACACTTGTGCGACTTTATACAACCCCCACCCCACCCCACCCTGCGCGCGCACGCGCGCAGAAAGTACTTACCTCACGTAGGGAACCGGGTAAACAAAAGTAGCGATTAGAGCTAACCCCTCTCGCATAAACCTAATTCGCCCTAACTAAAAAAATATCATCAGAAATGAAATTCCGAATGTACTTGACGCCAAAAATGATCAACATTAAGGTGGTAAAGATGAAGCACTGGTTGATGGAGATTTTATGAAAGCCTCTACACGCCGGGGGCTGGTCGAGCTGAAAGAGCCCCACTTTCTCTCATAAAGGAAACATACATGGCCTATCCTTTACCTATTGGATGTCACCTAAACTGGTCTGGCAATAAAGGAAGAAAAAAATTACATACGAAGGATACTCACCACATAAACCATAAAGACACCCATTATTCACATCCCATCAAGATATTCAACTCTTTTTAAAATTTAATTTGAAATAACTTTCAGCATCTATTGCCATATGACAAAGCCACCTCCAGGACGACCATCATAAGTGCATGTTTCAACATTTTCCAACATCTATCTTTCTCTGCAGATATCCTGCCACTTTTAAATATGCCAAAGCAATTTTTCCAAAAATCATACCACTCTTAAAATTGCCAAACAGCGAGGGGAATGCCACCCTTCTGCTCACAAACTATATTTTAACACGCTTTAAGCTCCACAAGAAGCTCCACTGCATCTGTTCTGCTTTTTCAAAAACTATATGCCACCATTCTTTAGTTTAGAAGTAACTTCTCAACGCATCATCACCATGAAGACAACCTAACAGCAAGTAACCTTATTAAAAAAAAACTAGAGAGTCAGCAAAAAGTTTTAAATATAACCTTTCATTTAAACCTCATGAAGAAAGCAAGATATATTACAAGTTTCAACGAAGATACTGAATGTTCCAATTGACAAAATCACATGAAATATTTAACACCTAAAATGCAGATGTAATTGGAAAGGTCACCAAAATATAGCTGTTTTATCATAAATTTATTTAAGCTACTCAAGTCTGATGCTTACATTCTTTAATGATGTAACGTATCTTTACGACTTTACTATTGAAGTTCTGATTACAGGATTACTTGCCGAAGATATATATACTGTAAGTACACTTAAATATGATAAACCTGTGAAGTTTGCTGAGCTTCACACTCCTATCAATCAAAAGGGGTTCAAGATCATAGATGTAATTACTAAACTGTAGCAAATTTGGTTAGTGTAGAAAATGATGGACCCGCTCCATGTATATCATTTGAAAAGGGAGGAAAAGTTAGTGGTGTGATCCATTTCTAAATTTTTGAACTGTAGTATTAGTTTGTTTTCAGAACAAGAGGTCCAACAAAATATTTTTTTACTGCTAGGGTCTTCCAATAAAAAAATAAAAAGAAAAGACACTTCATCAAAATGTAAACACATCAGCATATTGGGTTTAAAACGAGAAAAATATTTTGATCATTTATTATCATTAGTGACAGTGTATTTGAAATTAAAAATGTGTAGACTGCAGAGCAGTAAATGCTATTTAGTATAGACTGTCTATTTCGACCATCTAGACTGGTATTTCCTTGAAGGAATGCTGAATCATCTAGGCACCAAAAATGGAAATAAAAAATGACGCCCTATACAGAAATTTTAAAACCTCAGAAGTTTTAAAACAACAATCAATCTCTAGTCCCATGTTTGTTAATATAAATCACATAAAGTATATAAAAGTTACAAACTAATCCCCCAGGAGATCTACAAAAACGATGAACAGTCTAGAATTCTCCCAGACATTCAAAAATGGAAGTGTAACATCAATTTCTTTAACCTGCGTATGGGAATCTCCAAACTATCAAAAGATCAAATATTTTGCTACCACCAAATACTCATCTAAAATATAATAGCAACCTCTCAAGCTTGCCACATTCTTTTACTCATAAAATCCAAACAAGCAAGAATGTTACCCGCTGAACGAGGCATATCCCAAGACACATCAGGTAAGAAAAGAAAAACAGTTGATAATTTCTTCATCCTTCTTACACGTGCAACACAAGTTAAGAATCAATTTTTACTATTCCTCAAAGTGTCTATAACTGAAATTGCTTCAAGGGAGCATCCGCACAAAAAGGGAAGCCCGGAAGGGCATTTCAACCTTTCAAATACCTTCCCCAGGAATTAAGGCTTATCACCACCACACAGGGCTCTATAAAAAGTTCTAATTACAAACTACTGTTCGTCAGATATCCACCAATTTGTCCTCTTCACACACCGAGAAACCATAAAAGACCTAAAAGAAAGTATGAACGATTCAAACTCCAGTCCATCCATGAATATGAATACTGAGAATTCATTCTGTCTCTCAATACCCTCTCAACTTGAAAATCCAGGATTTGAATTGATGTCCTTCCATTGTCTCCTAAATTGCATTAATTTATCCTAAAGATTTCATTCCAATTGGAATTTGGTTGAGGGCTTTAAGAAAACGGGACTCCTAAACCGCACAACTCTGAAAAACCAGACAATCTGAAACCAGTAATCCTCTATTAGAGACAAAACAGACATTTCAGGAACGCCAATTTCAGAGGGGAATTCCCACAATATACTCATACCCAAACCTTGCACTAAATTAGTTCCCATAACAAACAAATGAACTTGGATAATTCCCTCCACCCTTTCCTGATCCCTTACTAAAGTCCCACCCAGTATGAACTTGCATCCTCCTAGTCTTCTAGCCATCATTGTCATTTTCAAATGTCCTCTCTATTTTGTTTCTCAAGTTCTACTGCATATCCTTACAACGTTTTGCAAAGGAAAGCTTGGTCAACATACCTTGACCAAACCCCATATAGTTTGGCCAAGGCACGTTAACAAATTAAGGCGGTGTTGATTTTCTATTTAGTATCGCAATATCCGGCAACTGGATTTGTAATTATATTTGAACCAATACCTATGACACAATAATAATCCAATACTGAGCATATAGGTGTAGAACCTAGAGAACTTTCTTTACAAATATGTAAGATAAAGTACTTTATTTCTGCATAATCTTGCATCCACATTTCCATTATCCCTTACAAAAGAAAGGAATTTATTTAGATAATTACATGAACTTAGAAATCGGTGGCAAAAAAAGAAAAAAAAAACACTCAAAGAGGCCAAAAGCATTGAGCATGAATCCTTAAATTAGCCCATCCAGAGTCCCAAGGGTGTCATTGTGGCAACATCACAGCAGCAAATTCCATTTTACATTCTCACCTTTTAAACCAAAATATTCCTTAATATTTGCAACTAAACAAAAAATCAAGACCGCAAAAGCAAAAAGAAGCCTCTAAGAGAGAGAGAGAGAGAGAAGGAACCAGTACCTCACCAGCTGCTCCAGTACCAGGATAGAACTTCCCACCCTCATGTCTATGTAATGAAATATACAATACCTACAAACAGGTTCAAATTCATCAGAAATTAATCCTATAACTTTTTAAAATGTTTGCTGTGTAATGGAAGAAAAGTTTGTTTCCCTTTTTCGGTAGAAGAAAAAAGTTCTTTTCAGTTTAAACCAAAAAAAAAAAATGAATTTAATCATATATATATATATATATATATTCCAAATAAAATTTGAAAATGAGGATTGTTGTTAATATATCTACACTATTTAATATTCACAGGTTTTACAGAGTAGAGACAGTCCAACTACGAGGTGAACACCCCCGCCAAAAAAAAAAAGAGAGAGAGAGAGAGAGCGAGTTAGAAGGAAATGAAGAAGAGAAATAAGATATTCAAAAGTGTCACATACAGTAACTATAATCTCCATATTATTTTACACTGGAATATTTAGTGAGTAAAAAAGTTAATTCAAATGACAAAATAAGAAGAAAAAAAATTTAGAGCTCACCGATTTGCTCTGATCAAATATTTCTTGTGTGCCATTCCCATGATGTACATCCTACAAGAGATATGGACAAGAGAACACCATATTGATTTAAAAGCACAGTTGTCTGCATGTAATCCATCCAACAGTAATGTAAATTTGCCTTCGATATGGATGGCAGCAATTACTGCACCGCTATAAATATAACTACAAAACCAGCATAAAGAGAACAGGTAAGGAGTCATTGACATTACCCAATCAACAATTAGCACTTTTTTTGCCCCCGCAACTTGAGCTGCTAATGCAGCAACTGCTGCATTATTGTGGAGGCAAAATCCCATGGCCTGACTGATACCAGCATGATGGCCAGGAGGGCGAACCTGACTTGTTGTAAAGAGAAGAGAGACCAATTTTTACAACAGTTTTTGTTACTCTAAGAAAGCTAATAAACGGATACAATAACAAGACTTGAAATTTCCTACCAGAGCAAAACCATTTTTGGCACCTCCTGAGAAAATTGCTGAAGCAAGATCAGCACACAGACCTGCCGCAAGCCTTGCAGCACGTGCTGAATGCTCATTTGCGTATGTATCTGGAGTGAAGTAACTGCCATTCAAAGGAACTAATCATAACCAAAAACCAACCACACAACAAAAACAGCCATCAACACCGCATTCATCCCCACCCACACCAACATACACAGTGATTGGTTTTACTGGGGGTGGAAGAGTACCAACCAATATAATATTACCTAGCAAGAATACGACTCGTAAATTCTACGGCTTCAATGTGCTCCAAAGAGTGGACCTGAACAATCCAAAACAGTAATGCAACAATTGAAGGTATTATAAGTTATAACTTCTTTCAAAACCTAAGAAATAACAAACTTCTTTCAAAGCCTAAGAAATAACAGTTTGCATCTCAGTTCTAACACATCAACAATTAAAATGACAAACAGAGCAGTTGATTTCTATCAACATGCCATCACAAAAGCAATTTCCAGAAAGACTTGATTCAAATTATGCTAAAAAAGTTATAAGATGAAAAATGATTCAGCTATTTGGCGTCGCATGAATTTATCCCAAATAGAATCCCGAAGAACTATCAGGCCAAGTTCCTCAAATCCAGAAAGTGTGGTTCACAGCACAGATTGGGGTTTCTACTTCTATGTATCGGTCTCCTCTTGCTGTTTTTCAAGGAAAAAGAGACAGTTTCGGTCACTGGAGAGGTGCTTTCAGAGGAAGTCGCCCACATATTTCAGTTACCAAACATATTTCCTCCAAACAATCTCAAATATCAATTCCCAAATAGGATATCCACAGCTCATGTTAGCATTAATTTGCACTTGGACCCTCGTAAGCATTCAAGATCATGGTAGGTTGCTTTCCATACCCATGTAGGCATTCAATCTCATGGTAGGTCGCTTACCATCTGAAGTTCTTCTTTTGTAATTTCTCTTGCAGCTATTGGAAAGCATCTTCCAGGAAATATACCTACAAAGGTATTTCATTTGACAATTGCTAGTCAATTATTTGTGAGGGGCTAAAAAAATTAAAATAAAAAAGAATCCATATAATTTATTTACTGCATATAAGGTACCATTCCCAATCAAAAACACTGAGAAATGAAAATATTTTTTAACAACAATAGTGGCATACAGAAATGGGAACCAAGAATCTAGCCCTCGTAAATGTAAAAAAATATCAACAAAGTTTAACCCACAAACCAGCAGTTGCAAGGCTAGCAGCAATAACTCGAAGTCGATCTGGTCTTTCTGGATGTGGATGCGACTTCATTTCAACCTAGTCACAAGAAAAAATTATCAAAAACAATAAAGTCATCATTAGTATGATATTAAGGAACCACTGATCATAAAAGCTCAGGCAGCCAAATGTTGGAAGCTAGTTCAAGTATAAGGAGCAGTCACTTGATTAAAGGGGACCAATAGGGTAACGATGTATAGTGGATATTATTAGTATGACATTAGCAGGTAACAAGCATTATATCCATATTCTATTTAACTTCAGCTGTGATTTCAAATACCAAAACAAAGTGATTTCAAACACTTGTTTTTAGTGGTTATCTTACAACTGCCACGGAGAGAATAAATCATTTTAGATTTTATCCAAAATTCTGAGAGGGTAAGGAAGCACAGAGAACAAGAAGCGGGGAGGCGATTTGAAAGGGCACTGATAACTGATAGAAACATAAACAAAAATAGAATATTTTTTTACAAATAAAAGTAAGAAATAAAAAAATGTCTTAAATTTTTTATGGGACTATCTAAATCTCAACATCTAGTATCAAACTGTTAACATACTTTTATCTACAATGAAATAAATGTTGACATATAATGCATGTTCACATTCACAGTTAATACTAAATTCTGGATCAATTATAATCCATACAACAGGCAACCAAAAGTGCATAATACATAAGACATTCAAATTCAAAACGAAAGTTTCAAGAATATATAGGAAATTGGCAACAAACTTCTGAGTGAAGCAACATTCTCTCATCAAAACCTATTGCAGTGGAATTGCTTGACGCTGAATTTTGCGAGCATGAATCTACATGGATAAAAGAAATTGAGTTTTACATCAGTGTAATAATGTTATCAATCCTAACAATTTGCATAATCATACTATTGGAATTACAAAAAATTATTCAGCTAAAAATGTCCAAGAATGCAGTAAAACCATATCATGGAATTAAATGTATTCTTAAAGCACGCCTTAGGCAGTTTTGATATTTTGCTTTTCATCAATCGAAGAGATTCAAAAGCAACAATCAAAAATTTCCTCATCAACAAAATCTAATTAACATATATAAAGAACAGATGAAGGCTATCACAAATGGTTCAACAACATAACAAACACAGAATCTGACTCATCGTTGTTGTAAGGAGGTCTTAGAAAAATCAAACACAAAATTTGATTCACTGGCAAGGACTTAGCCAAGTGGAATATTCTCCTCCTTCCAAATGGAAGGTTGAGGGCTTGAGTCCTCTATGGGACAATAATGTGTGTCAGTGCTCAGTAAGCCAAAGAAATTAAAGTTGGGCTAATTTGTTCTGTTGGGGTTTTGCTTCGGGTTTGGTCTGGCACACGGAAACTACCATTACTCAGATCAAGTCTGAGTTAATCTAGCCTAACCCACCAAAGTTGCAACCTTACCACCTCCATACCAAGGATTCAACAAAAAAGTAACACTTAATGATACAAATAGCATAAAATAAGCAACCACCTTTGCATCTTTCCGTCATTTCAGATTGATCCTCAGTGACACCGCCTTCTTGCGAAAAAGGAGATGCAAAAAACCCATGCCTAAGGATTCCGGATTCTTTATATTCTCCGCATATCTGTATAAAGGAGAATGCATCAGACAAGCTATAGGAAACAACATATATCCGTTAAAGAATAATTAATTAAGTTAGAAATCGAAAAATACTTCGCATAAAATGTGTCATTCACAAGGGAAAAACAATTTAAAGATGAGGAATATTTAAGATTAAGATCAAGACAGAAGCTGATAACATAACCGTACATCACAATGGACAACATCATCAAGGTTAACCATCGTACAGTTGATGCAAAACCACTTTGTGACTTCCATATCCTTTTTTAAGGGTTCCCAATCACTGTCATCATCCTCCTCATCAAAATAATCTTCATTACTGTACATATCTTGAAAAGTCATTTCTTTCTGCTGCCTTGCCCTCTTCTGTGGTCAAATCACATTACAAAGTGAGAATTTGAAATTATTGAGCATCCACCACTTTTATAAGAAACTATATTTCTTGAATTTGTCCATGTATTCTGCTTACAGATATAACGGGGGGCTGCATGTTGCCATTTAAATTGTCTGCTGTAGCTGTGGTAGATTTTGTAGTTACTTTTTCTTCCCCGCCATTTTCATTATTGTGACAAGTACAAGCAACTTTTCCACCAGATCCCATGTTTTCATGTCTTCCACTATAGCCTTCACGTAAATTCCGATCTCTTTTACTTGGAAGACCGTTCTCAACCACTCCATTAGTTAAACGGCCCATTTGCAGTGCTTCTAAGACTATGTTGTGCTCAGGAATAATCAGGATTCATATGCCAAGTCTCCACCAGATTCATTCCTTCACAAAGATCAGTCATCAGTCAATCATGTGGGAAAGCTTGGAAAGCAAATCTAAAGAAGAAATATACTTAAAATAAAACAAAAGATGAAGGTAAGGAAAAGAACGGTTCTACAAATAAAATGGATAAATGGAAATGAGAAAAACACCAGGAGGGAGTAAGCAACTAGATCACTCAAAAAACAAAATAAAATTGAAAAGGTTATGTTTGGTGCAGACGAAACGAAATCAAGTTACAGAACTTATGTTTACATTGATTTGTCTCAATCCAGTTTGATGCAACACATTTTTAGCATTTTCATGAATTCGGTTGGTCGCTTATAAAAATAATTTACAAAAACTTTTAGAAAAAAATGGAAATAGTTTCCAAAAAAAGATTGCACATATGCCCAAACAAAAGCATTTTCCCAACTATTTGGAATCTCCTTTTTTGACATTCTATTCCAAGGCTATTACCACAGTCAAACCATGTACTATCATACCTTTCTTAGTCGCATAATGATCATCTTTATGCATGAAAAAAGCATCTTAATCGATTTTATCTCCAATGGATGCTACTTCAACAGTTTCACTAATGTTTCAATTTCTAGTTTTATCATTTCTTGTCCCAGCTACTCTCATTTTATGAGTATGCTGTTTCTTAACCGCCTAGATTTTCTTCCGTAAAGTACAATCAGTTTAATAACAATTTTGTAAAATTTTCCTTTCAATTTTAAATTGTTTTATTAATTTTTTTTCATTACTAATTTTATCATTTCTTATCTCGATTCTCGACCACACTCATTTTATGTATATGTTGTTTCTTATCCGCCCAACATTTTGCGACATTAAGTAATCAGTTTAATAACTCTTTAGTAAAATTTACCTTCAATTTTAAACATACCCGTTCACCATACGGTACATCACAATCATTTTTCCAATTAACCAATCATATTTTAATCTATAATTAACATCTCTAGTTCCTCCATCCTTGCGAAAAATCAAGCCTATATAACAAAAATGTTCACTTTATGGTATCTCTTCACCCTTGATCTTCAACACGTCCTTATCTGTATTTTTTACTTTGTTAATATTAAATATAAAAATGTATATGTACACACACGTGAGCCTACATAATCATATTTTATATGCAACAAATCAATTAAAGGAGTCTTTACCCAATTAATTGGAGTCTGCTGCATATATCGTATTTTTTTCATTTTTCTCTAAGTCATAGCGTCAATCAACAAGTTATTCCATCCTTTCTTACTAACTCTACCCAAATTAATTTTCATTCCCTTCCCTAGGGTTACCCTCAATGTGGACCATGTCACTTTCTAACTAATGCACTCAATGGTCATGGCATTTTCACCTCACTTGTATTATCAAAATGTTGTTTCTTAGCCATCCAACAAGTTGTCCCATATATAATAACTAGTCTAATATTTGTTTTATAAGACTTCTCATTCAATCTTTAGAGGAATGTGTCGATCACACGACAATACATATGCATTCCTCCATCTAACATGTATTGTCTTCATTCTACTATTAACACTATTTCCACTTTTGCTCACTTTGTGAATAATTAAGCCTAAATAGCGAAAATGCTCACTTTTAGCATCTCTCGACCTCATTCTTCACTGGATCCTTATTTGTATTACTAGAATTGCTAAAATCACATTTCATATATTCATTTTTATTCCTAAAGCTTCTCCTTGAACCTTTAATTTAGCCCTTAACCCTTCTTAAGTTTCATCAATTAAAACAATATCACCAGCAAATAGCATACACAGAGGAATCTCCTAAATGTATCTCACGACTTCATCCATAACTAAGGCAAAAAGATATGGACCCAATGCTAACCTCTGATGTAAACCTCAAGGGACTGAAAATTCAGTTGTTCCTCCCATAAAATTCTAACTATAGTCGCAATTCTATCATATAATTATATGTCATTTATCATGTATTTCAGACTTTCAGACTTACTCGTACCCGTGGAAAACGGTATGGCGTTCGAAGGCTCCTATTAGGGTGGCTTTCTTTGCTTGGACTACTGTTTGAAGTAAGATCTTGACTTTGGACAATTTAAGGAAGAGACAACATATCATTGTTAGTCGGTGTTGTTTGTGTATGGCCGATGGAGAGTCTGTGGACCACCTTCACTTACACTGCCCAGTGGCCAATGACTGTTGGGGCCTTATGTTGGGCCTCTTTGGCGTCCAGTGGGTTATGCCTTGGACCACACGGGATATTATGGATATTTGGAAGGGGCAAAGGGTGGGGATTTGTGTTCGTAATTTCTGGAGGGCGACTCCTCTTTGTATTTGGTGGTGCCTGTGGAAAGAACGAAATAGAAGATCCTTTGTTGGGGAGGAGTTACCCATTGGGAGGTTAAAGTACTCAATTATTTGTTCTCTTTTTAGTTGGGGTACAGGGAGAGATTGTTCTTCTGTTGAGTAGATCATGGATTTTTTGGGGTCTTTGGGGCCATAGGTTTCCGTTTTTTTGCTTTTGTTTCGTTCTTGGTTATTGTACTAATCTTGGGATGCGTTCCCCTTTTGAACGTTTTCTAATACAATTTTACTTATAAAAAAAAAAAAAAAAAAAATGTATTCATGTCAATTCGTGACTCCTTTCTTTTCTAAAACCCATCATATTATCTCTTCAGTTACCCTATCATTGACTTTCTCTAAATCTATAACAGCCATATGAAGTTTGTTTCTTCTTCATATCTTTCCACTAGTCTCCTTCACAGGTAAATAGCCCTTGAAAGTTTCATCTTTTGACTCATAACTTTAATACCACAATAATTAACACAAAAATGTAGATTTTCTTACTTTTGCACCAAACATCAAGCATTTTCTAAATTACAATTATCTTATTAAACAAATTTGTCAGACACACACCATCCTCCCCTAAAACTTCGAAACCTAAATAGGAATGCTCTCTCATTCTAAAGCCTTTCCTAATCTCAACTTCCTTAGTGCATTTTTTGCACTCTTTGTACCTACAGAAAGATTTGTTCTCCCTATTCTCCCTACACCCAAAGTCACTAGAACAAGGGTAGACCAGTACATTTTTCATGTTCTACCTAAACTTCATAGATGATTTTCATTTCACAATTTCTCAAAGTAACTTCCCCATCTTTCTTTCATTTCGTCATCTTTTAGGGAAAGTCAAAAACCTAAAAATCCTCACTCCTGATGGATTTGATCTATGTTGCATGGACTCTTAAAAAGTAGGTGAAGTACCGTGTCAAATACATGTTATTCGAACATGGGTTTAGAATATATGTCCAACAAATTTTTTTTTAAGTTGTGTCCACATTTTTGGTTGGACACGTGCCAAAATAAAAAATAAAATAAAATAAAATATCCAATAATTCAATTTTATTATGATATTACTTCAAAATGGGTGAAATGCCTATATAAAACACTATGTTATTTAAAAACATTATTTTATTTTTAAAAATAAATAAAATAAATATTTAGCAATGTCCGTGTGTCCTTCAGTTCAGGGATTTTAAATATCTGAGGGTGTATACCCGTACCCGAGTCAATGTAACATAGCATTTGATATAATTTTAGTTTAGCAAGTTTATAAATATTATTCTCTAATTTAGAATAGAAATTTTGTGCCCTCACTAGTCACTACTTTTTTAACTTCATTTTTTGCATCTTTGCATTTTTCAAAATTCTCCTTTTCTAGATTTTTTTTTTTTTTTTGTCAAAATATTGTTTTTATGATGATCATTTTCACTCTAGTTGGATAGAGATGGGAACTGTGGAGCAAATTTTAATAACAACAAACAATGAAAATGTGCAAAAGAATTTTGAGTTCAAATTGCAGTTCTAGGGTTTGGACTCAATCAGTACAGTGAATGATTAAACTGTGCTCTAACTTTCCCCTCGTGATGAGAATTTCTTTCATTCCGATGCGTACACGCATACTAAAACGTTCAGAAAACTCGAAATACAACAATACATACACATAAATAAATATTATAAGCTTACTCAAGGAAGTACCGAGAACAAAGGAGACTGAGTAAGGGGAAAAAAAAAAACAAAACATGGATGAGAGTGTAAAGAGTGGAAAATCTAACCTGACTAGGGCAACATTGGTGCCTCCTCGAAGTCCGTTAGCGAGCGACGATGAGTCGACTATAGAAGAGGACTCCACTATAGTGTGTTTTTGCATCGGTGCCCTCGTCTTTTGGTTTATCAGTAAGTTTGTCACGATTTTTCTTTTCTTTTTTTTCTATTTTCCTTTTTTAAAATGAGAAGACAGAGAGAGAGTTTTACGATGACAAAGAATCTTATTGGACTTTTCGACCCTATCAATTAGTTGCATAAAATAAAAAATAAATAAATATGAATATACTAGTAATAAATAAATATAATAAAATATTAATTTATCCACCAATTAAATTCTCACGACTCTTTTTTGTTAGACGGAAATAAGTTAGAAAATAAAATATTTTTCCTTGCATTTGGTTAGCAATAAAATTTATTCAAGAAAATTGTAGAAAATATTAGTTTTTTAGTTTGGATAGCGTAAAAGTGAAAAGAAATTGATTATGCAGACCAAAACTACCTTATGGAGTAAAATGATGAATTATTAAATTTAAATATATAATTGTTTATATTTATTTTTATTATTTATATTTAAAATAAGGCTTCATAATATTTTCTTAGGTAAAATTAATTATTAGTTTAAGATAAACAAATTTTAAAAAAATAAAAATTAGAGATGAAGGGGGAATACTACTGTTTGGGATAAATATCAAATATTTCACCATATATATATATATATATAAACCGAATGATAAGTGGCTAGAATTGCAACATAAAACAGACGATTAAAAAAAATAAAAAATTCTATTTAGAAGCATGATTTATTTTGAGCAATTTTACCCAAATTATCATTGATATTCTGTATATATAATTATATAATTTGTCTTGCGAACTTACCTCATAATAAAAATTTACCTCTCCTAATAGAAGTTGGTTTGGAGAAAACTTTGCACGATTAAAGTTAGGAACTATAAACTCTGTTCTCATGACAAATTTTAAGGGAAAATACTCGATAAGGAAACTAAAACAAAATAGAGAGTTTTAGGACAGTGTGGGTTTTCTAAGAACAACTTAAAGCTGTTTTAGGAGTTTTCATAACAATGAGTTAGAATTTAGAAAACACGAAGAACGGCAGGTGTCATTTAAAACCCTTCTTTTAAACCGTATGTTCTTCTTCCTTTCTCTCTTTACCCTTCTTCTTCCCCTCTCTCTCTACTGTAAAGCTCTGGTTGTTTGCTCTCTTCTATCCCGTGTTGGTGAGTTTTCTCCCTCAAACTTAGGCTTCGCCTTCAAAGAATGGAGCTTACCTTTTTCCCAATCATCAGATCAAGTTATCCCAATTTGGGTTTAAGGATGATGGCATGGCTATAATTAATTTCACTTCTTCAGTGTTGCGAAGCTACCTTGACTTGGGTTTTTTTATTGATTTTGGCCGAATTTTTCTCTTTTTTCATGGTATGTCTATGTCAGAGTAGATGATGTGAGTTGATCTCAGAGGTCGTGATGCAAAGTCTTACGACCCTACCAAAATGCGATGCGAAGTCGGACAAAGTTCACAGTGACTGTGTAACGACCCAAAAGATACCAAAATAATAATAATAAAATATAAAAAAAATTCAGTATGACCTCTGCAAAAAAAGTCTCTCTACAACCTGTTGAAATAAAAAAATAAAAAAATGCAATAGCTTCACTGAGCCTTAAAAATAACATATTATGTCACAACGCACAATACAGATATTATACCACATTTCCAAAATGACTACATACATACAAAAATTCCGTTCCTCCTTCTCATTCAAACAATGAACACACTTAAGATACATCAAGTTACAGTCCATAAAATGTAGCTAGAATTTAAAAGTTCATAACTTACAACATTGTACCAATTAAACTAAAGTTTCACAAAATAGTTAATATTACATTTACAAAATATTAGAGTTCTAGTATAAAGGTTAGCAAAAATAAAATAGATCCCCAAGCTCGTCTAAACTTGTGGTGGATCGTCGTCCGCTACCTTTTTTCCATATCCTGAAAAAAATGTTAAAAAAAATAATGGGGTGAGCATAAACTCAGTATGAAGTGTCCAAGACACACTTCTTATATCCCCTTGAATTCCACACAAAGAATGGATAAAGGGGACGGGGTCATACCACGGGGAATACATATTCTCAATCACAGCAACAAATATATAGCAAATGTCAACCAATCACAGATTTACTAAAATGTCATGAAGTGTAATGTTATGAATATGTCACTCCTCATTTCTGAAACAATTCAGTTTCAACAACCAAACCGTTAGTGTAATCCAACCCATGGTACCTCCAAGGCGTCACGAATAGAGGGTTGACTAGCTATCCACGATTACAAGGCACCTCCAAGGTGTCGCATTCGGCCTAGTTAGTTCAACCATACTCCCTTTTAGACTACACTAACAACACGGACCACTAGGCGCCTCATAGGCGTCCGGTTTTCGCAAACTTCTTTAAAAAATATATATTTTTTCCAAGAACAAATTCATTTATTTTAAAACATTTTCCCCAATGGATACATGAATGCTTCATGCTTTATTTCATCAATTCAACCATAAAGTTCCCACATACTTTTTCAAATAAATTAATAAATTACTAAAATACACAACTCATATTCTCATCCCACATTTTGATAGCAATTTAAATATACAATTCACAAATTTATTTCCATCATTATAACATAAATTTTTATAACAATTGAAATCATGAAAACAAACCAACACTAAGCATGCTTCTTTACAAGTTAAAAATTATCATACTAATAAGCCCAATTAACACACAACACACATTTATCACCATCAATATAAATAATCTTAACAAACATAATCACAAAAAATTAAAATTAAGCATGTTTAAAGTCAAATTAAAGAGGAAAATTCATAAGAAATCCAATAATTAGTGGATTAGAGCACCCATACCTCAAATAAGAGAAAAACCCCCAATTTGATCCCTAAATTTGAAATTCCTAGAGAGCACTAAAGCTGAAATTATTGGTACTCACGCGTAGATCTCGCCGTGCTCTCCGACTTTGCTTCACAAGGTTCTACCAAATTTCAATTGGTGAGAGTGAGATCAAAGCTTGAAATTGCAAAAAAATTAAAAAATTAAAAAAAAATAAAAATAAAAAAGGAATTCCCGAAAGGAGACTGGACGCATCAGAGAGAGAAAAAAAAAAATGAGTCTGTCTAATGACTCTTAAGTCATTTGTATTGACTTAAGATTCATGCGGGCCCCACAGGTATATAAATATTTATTTAACTTTAACATTTATATATAAACATTACAGATTGCCATGAATTTGAAGTAGCCGATGCGATGAATTAACAGGTACAATTATAGAAAATCGTGTAACTCTGATTTGGGAAATTTCATAAATTATCCGATCGAAATTTAGGGCAAGCATAATGACATTGTTGGTTCTTCAAAGCTGGAATATCACGATAGAAATGGATGCTAAATCTAATTCAAATTGTGAATTGTAAGCTGTTTCTCTGCACGTCTAATGGGATGACATTATTGAATGTTTAGAGCTTCTAATTCCTTGACTATTTAATTTTTCTATGGGAAAAGAATGGTTGTGATCACACTTTAACTAAGTTTGCTTTACAAACAATGTAAAGCTAGCATATATTTTTCAAATTCCTTCCCTTATGCTCTACTGGAAGCTGTAGAACTTGATTGTATTTAGCTTTGTTGAATAAAATCATTCCTTGATGAGAATTTTTTTTTTAATAGTAATGACGTTGTCACATAAGATTTAAAATATATGTATGTATATAGCTATGTTTGATTCAATGATGTTAAATGTGATACAACAATAATTTTTATTTATTTTTTATTCTAAGTTTAGAAACCATTTTTAGACAACCAAATAATTTTTTGTTCTTTGAAAACTATTTTGTAGTTTTCTCAACCAAACATATTTTTAAAATGAAAAAAGTGAAAATTGTTCTTTGTTCTCATTTTCTGAAAACTGTTCTTAAAAAGAATTTCGAGAGTTTAAAATCAAGTAAGGAAATTTTCCATTAGTTTTCTCTTTCTATATATCCAAACTCTAAAAAAAATTAAAAAATTTCTCTTTCCTTTCTTTTCTAGCTATTTCCACCAAACCAAGTAAAGCACTTCTTAACAGGAAAATTCCATCTTGTGGACTTGAACTTTCCTTAGAAAAGGGCTACAAGAAAATCCATACGCGCTTGAGGCATGGCAGAAGACGGAGCTAGCAAGGGTGTTAACCTTAGGCAGACAAGGATCTGAAAACCGTCCGTGGGTGTACAAGTGAAGAAATATTAGGGGCGTTACTCAAAATAGGAGTCGTCATTGCCACTGACAACTGCGCTGAACCTAGTTGTCAAATTCTTATTAGTAAATGCTAGCTTGGATCAGTGAAAACTAGGCATGTGTTTGCGTAGTAGATCTACTAAATTCTCTGAACTTGATGAGAAACCTGACTTACGCTACCAAAAGAATGGAGGGATTGGCTTCCTTGTCTGGGTGTGTAAATTATTTTACAATGGTATATATATATATATATCAACTGTTTTTAAATTTGTTTTATTTTATTTTATTTTATTTATTTATTTTTCCTGATACATGAAAAAGGAAGTTTACAAAGGCAAGTTGGATAGTTCAGCATTTGTAGCTTGAAGCAACCACTGAGGCCAAACTCTTCAAATGCTTTCATTGCTTTTACAAGAAAGAGCCCTACGGGTAATACAGTGGACAACAGAGATGCCATTGCGAGGAATCCATTGAAGGAGCCATTGAGGGTGGGTCGCCAAACGGATTGATGTCATCCATGAGAACTGAAGAGAGTTCCTCTAATGGAGAGATGTGCATAATGTTTTGGCAGTCGCCTTCAAAGATTACCTTATGGAGGGATTTGCAACCAGCGATATTGATGGATTCACGCAAGACCCATGCTTCTGCCATTTATGTGGAGAAGACAGAGTGGGAAAATAAAGAAGCTATGAGAATTATGTGTCCCTGAGAATTGCAAACGATAATGCCTCCTCCCGCACTTTTGGAAAAATGGTTGAAAGAGGCATCCATATTAAATTTCAGAACATCTGCTGGGGGTGGAGTCCAACAAGTAAAGACCAAAAGAGGACTTCGAGACAATGGCTGAGAGGGAATATCATAAACTGCCAAATCCCAAAATTCCTCCTA